CAAATTAAATAATTAAATTAATAGAATACTGAAATTACTCAAAAATATAAAACTTAATGTGATGAATTAGAGAAGTTGAAATAAAAAAACACTTAATCTACTCAATAAATGAAGACACAATTTGAGAATGATTTCAATAAGTTGTAAACTAGTTTTGAAGAGTTAAAATAGAAATGTTAGACAGCTGAAGAAGCATTAAAGAGTGCTGAGAGAGAATAATTTATATTGTAGAGTGAATCTAAGAAGAAGGAAGCTCTCTTGGAATAGAAGATATCACACTTATAGAAGTTGAATGATGAATTCAACAAAAAGGAGAAATAGTATGATTCATCTTTAATGACTTCTAAGAGTGAGTTCTCTGTTAAATTGAGAGAATTAACAGCATCTTATGAGTAAACCTTGAGTGAAGTAAGAGCATAGAACTTATAACTAAATGAAAAGTTGTAGGAGACTTCAGATTAATTAATGCAATTGGAAATCAAATATGAAAATTATTACTAAGTTCAAACTCACAAGGAGGAGAGTCAAAGCAATGCTATAAAGAAATTGATGTAATCATAATAAACCTTACAAGAACAAATCAATATAGAAATCACAAAGAACAAACAACTTCAAGATGATTTGCTATCGACTTAAATGCAAGTAGAATCTAATGAAGTTGGCGAACAATACAAACAATAAGTTAAGTAGTTGGAAATCAAATTATAAGAACAAAAGTAAATATAATTAAAGAGTGATGCAATCTTGAATCAATAAATTTAATTCTTGTAGATGGAGTTAGAAGAGAAGAAAAATACTATTAATGATCTTAAAAAGTCACATGATTCAGCAATGTTGGCTTTGGAGTAATCATAAAATACCTAAAATCAATAATAGTTGAATAAATCTATCATTGATTTGAAGGAATAGCATATGATTGAAATTAGATAAGCAGAGCATACTTCATAATAGTTGAGAAAACAATTACAACAATAGTTGGATTAGTTATAAGGAGAATTACAAGAAGCAGAAATGAGAGGGGATGTATTCTTATAAGAAAAGAACAAATTGTAAGAGGAATTAAGTGAAAGCTATTAGGTATAGGATGAATTGAAACAGAAGATTCAGTAATAATTGAAGGAGATGGAATCAAATAAGCATACTCAATTTAGAGAGAAAGAATTGAGAATGAATTAAAGAATTAAATAATTAGAAGAGGAATTAAGCTAATGCAAATAATAACTCTAAAATACAGGTAATCTAGATAAGAATAGTATTGAGTAATAAGTAAATGAATTAAGAAATTATTACGAAATGGAGAAGGACGTTTTGGAGAGAAGAATTCATGAAGAAAGATAGAAGGCTGATTAGAAATATTAAATATTATTTGAAGAACAAGAGTAGAAGATGAGGGATGAACAATAATAATATGAAGAAGAGATAGAGACATTGAAAGATGAATTGAGAGATTTGGAAATCAATTTGACTACTTAATAATAACAATATGATAATGAAATAGAATTAAAGAATAAACAACTTAATTCTATGGAGAATATCTTGAATGAGACTAAAGAATAATTAGTCTAATTACAAAACACCTTCTAAACCTAGGTTGAATAAAGAATCAATAATCTTAATGTTACAATTCAATCATTGGAAAGTTAATTGACCAATTAATAATAGAATAATCAACAATTAGTTAAGGAAAATCAATTAATGACCTAGAAATTAGAAAATTTGGATGTCAAACTCCAATAGAAATTAAGTGAATTCAAATAATTAAAAGAAGACTAAGAAAAGGAGAAGACTCAATTATAAGAGTCATTGTAAGATTTGAGAAGAAAATACACAGCTACATGTGATGAATATTTAGAGAAGAAGATTAATTATGAGAAGGCTATAGCATTAAGTGCTTAACAAAATGAATTCTTTGCTAAGAAGGTAGAAGAATTGGAGAGACAATTGGAGAGTTGCAATCTTAAATATGAAGAGAGAATCAAGATCTAGAAGTAGGAATGGACTTAAGAATTATCAGATAGATTATCAAAATTAAATGAAGAGAAATAATAGATCGAATCTAAAAGTACTTAACTTAAGAAACAATTAAGAGAAAAAGGAAACCTAGTTTTTGAAGGCACAATAAGATTTGGAGAAAGAAACTGCTTTGTCAACAGAAAAGATTGTATATTTAGAATAGAAATTAAGAGAACATGAATAACAAACATCTTCAGAGAATAGTAATGCTGCCATGCAATTGAAATAATTAAGAGAGTAATTTAGTCTACTAAAATCTAAATCATCTTCAGATATTGAATAATTAAAATCATAATTGACTAATCTTGAATTTGAGAAGTAAGAATTATAGGCCAATTATGAGAAGGATAAGATTCTATGGGTAATATTATAATTTAATATTTTTAGTAAGGTAAAACATAATTCTTAGAATCATAAAGAGAATCATTGAAATAAGAATTAGCTGATGCTATGAGGAAGTTTGAAACAACAATTCAAACATTGTAAAGATAGAGAAGTCTGGAGAGAAATGATCATAATCAAGACATTACAGAAATGTTGAATTAGATTGAGAGAAAGTATTAAGATTAAGTGAAAGATATTTAACAATAACATCAAAAGAAATGTGATGATTATTAAGAAAGAATTGAGAGATTGGAAAAAGAACTTAAGTAATCATAAAGTAAAGAATTGTTGGATTAATAATCAAAGATTGGATAACAATTTGAGAGAAAGACAGCAGAATTGTTGGAGAATGAAAAGAGACTATTAAGTACAATTGAAGAATTGAAATAGGAAAGAGATCAACGAATACTTGAACATCATGAAGAAGTGGAATAAGAGAAGGAGTATTGGAGAAATAAAATCAATGAATTAGAAGAAAGATAGAGAGAATCAGATAAAAAATAATCATAACTTATCTTTTATCATGAAAAGGAAAGAGCTAAATGGAGTTAAGAGAAGGATTACATTATGTAATAAAAGATGGAATTGTAAGATTAATTATCCAGATTGGAGAAAAAGAAAGAATTATTACTCAAAGAAAATGAGAAAATGAAGAATTCTTCAAAGAGTCTCAGAAAATATAATCCAAATCAAACTCTTAATAATAGTTATTTAAACAAATAAGCAAGTGATAAGAAGATACCTTCATAGGTAAATATTCATTCTAATAAATATAGGAAGTAGTTAATATGAGTTATGATGTTACTAAATCATTGGAGGATAAGGATCCAAGTTAAAAGGAAAATCTATCCACATCAACCACCTTTGGTAGTTTCAAAAAATATTATTAAATGATGAACTCGAAACAAGTCAGTCCAAGTAAAACTAAAGAGATTTCAGATATTTGATAAAATTAATATATATAACACAAGAAACTCAAATTTATGTAGACCATTATTATCTTAGTGAATTCTCATAAAGTGATCTTTTGTAATATATTATTAGCAAATCCTAAATCCACACAATATTGCTTTTGTCTATCAATAATGCACTAACCTAAGGCTGCATCATACAAATGAAATGATAAATTTATCAATCTATCTTGGAGAAAAGTCTTCCATTTACTTTGCCAAAGATTAGATTTCATCCTCTGAAAGATTGAAGTTGACCTAGAATCGTTTCGAAAATGCTTTGGCTGGATTTAAGATCAAGGAAAGCATGTTACTTTTTTAGAAAGTATCCTCAAACCCTTTCTTCAATAACTTAACTCTTTGTTCTTCATTCAAATAATCAAATTTAACAATTTAATCTATTCTATCCAAAATGGCTTCATCCAATTTATTTGGTAAATTTGTTGCTAAGATTAAAGAATATTTCTTTGAAACTGCTGAAGTTTAAGCTAAAAATGTTGACAAGGCAGCAGATGTTTACTTTGAAGAACTTCTTTTATAGAAAATGGCCTCGGCTTCATCAATAAATATGAGTGTCCCTTTGGGTGTAGAATTACACCAAGAGAACAATTTATCGATCTCAGGAACTGCCTATTCTCCCAATTTTTCTATGTCTCCACCTGAAATTATAGCAAAGTGTAGTCCAGAGTTGTAGGCTAGCAATTTTGCAAATAAAGTCTTGCCTGTTCCTGGTTGACCATGAAATAATAGATTTCTCAAAGGAGTTGATTGACTCTATTTGGCAATAAATCCAGATGTAATCAATTAAAGTGTGTGTTCCAATTCAGGGTTTAAGACTAGTTTATCAAATATACGTTTAGAACTAGGCATCATCCATTTTAAAGAGCGACGAGAAGTTTCTCTCACTAAATTAGGCTTTGTTAACATGGCTTCCAATCTCTTAAATCCAAGTCCTAAGCTGTACTTACTGAAGAAAAAGGCTCCACTGACAAATAACATAACTTTCGCTATTGTAAAGAGACCTTAAGGATTCTATTGCAAATATTTGAATCCCTCTTAGAATTTAACAAAGTAAAGATTGTGTAATTCTATTTTAGCCTATTTCTCTATCTAAGCCTTCTTCTCCTATTCTTAAACAATTAAATCAAAGTTCTTTCTATAATTCTCAGCATTTAGTTTAGCTTATAAAGTGATTTTCCTTTCCTCTAATTCAAATTATTTCTTCATTTGCATTGTTAATGTTTCTCTCCTCATATTTTCTTATCTTCTAATTGATTCTTCAGCTTCTTCTCTCATTCTTTAGGCAGTCAATTCTTTGTCTTTTAATTTGTCTTTAGTTCTTTCTCTTTCCAATTTATCATTATAATCTGCTATTTATTGATTCACTTATTTTTGATGATCCATATTTCTTCTTCTCTCTTCCCCTTCAACTTTTACTTTTGATACTTCGTGTTATTTTTGCAATGCTTGTTTATCTGCTTTTTTGGCCTCTTCTGTCTTAATCATAGCATCAAGGGCTTTAGCAGCATGTGGAGACTTATTTAGTTCGCGTAAAGCCTATTTTAATAGTTTAATAAGAAATACTTAAGCTGCTCTTTCTAAAGCTGTTGGATCAAAGACTCCTTAATTCTTCATAATTAAATTTAATTATTAATGAATTGTGTAAATTGCAATACAAAAGTGGAAAATCCTGATCCGATGACCCAATGTCCTCATTGTAATCACGAAAACTAAGATTGGTATTTTGGTTGTGAAAACAATATACTATTGGTTGACATGATTCTATGTAAAGTGAGTGCTTATCGACATTTGCTAATTAATAGTTAAGTAATGGATATATTTAAATTTGAAGTATACTCTAATACCAGCCTCCTTTATATTATTCATTACTTATATACTATTGGAATTGTTTTACAAATATTAATCAAACATATTGCATAAATAAGAATAGGAATTGAATTTTGAAGATGTTCAGAAATAAACAATAGATATTACACTAACATTGTTATCATAAATTGTTACAATATACATTATATCATTGATAATATTTAGAAAATTACAACATTAATAAATGATTATTGGTTTGATTTTATCATAATTTGGAAGATTAGCAATTATCATGTTTGTCATTTGGGGTCATTAACCATTTTATAAATAGATGGCTTCCTTATCAATCATAATGAGTGAATGGACAACTATTAGATCGTTGTGTGAATACAAGAATGAGTGGTTAAAAAGTGGAATCGTAATAATTTTAACTGTACTTCTAAGATATTTTGTGAATAATAGTATAACAATATTATGATTTCTGTATTAATGTCTTTTAGAATTACATGTATTATTCTATTAAATATAGAAAATCAGTTAGTAATCATCTAATTTTGATTATCAATTTTGGATTAATTCTTCTTTTATCTAATTTATAATTATATATTTATATATTATTTTAAAGCTAATTGAGTGATTTAATTATTGTTAAATGTTATTTATATTAGCATTTATAAAGATGATTCAACAGATTTAAAATATTCATAAATATGATCTCATTTATCTTTTATTTTTACAATTTAATTATTTGTATTTATAACAAAATTCAATTCTTATTGTAGATAAGATATCATTTTTTTTGCTATTATCATTAAAATAAGATTTTTTATTTAATACTATATTTTATATTTAATTCCATTTAATGTTTAACTAATTAATTATATTAATTGTTTAAAACAATGAAAATTCTGAATAAGTAATTAAATATTGATAATATTGATAAAACTTAATCGAATAATATTTCTTCATACTAATTTTTTTACCATATAGACTCCTTCAGAATGATATCCTAATTTACGATAATAATGTCTAGTTCCGATTCCAGCAATGACTGCCATTTTAGTACTTCCATGTTCTTCTCTTGCAATTTTCTCTGCTTCTTCCATAAGCAATGTACCATATCCTTGATGTTAGAATTTAGAAGGATCTCTTGAATGAATAGGGACCACTGAACCATAGACATGCAATTCTCTAACCATGGAAGTTGGTTCCTGAGTTAATTCTTTTCTGAAAGTGTGTTTATCCAATCTTCTGAGTCTCAACAACCCTATTAAAATATCTTAAGAAGGATCTTCGTAAGATAAGAATGTTTCCCATCCATCATTAGCAGTATAGTCTCTTCTAATTAATTCAACCTATTCTGGTTTAATTTTGTGATGAACTTCTTTGATTCCAACTTCCCTTGTTCTAACATCTCTACAGGCAACATTTAAGTCTCTCATCCTTTGTAATGATAACTCTCTTAAATTGCCATTGTCTACTCCTGATGTCACTAAAGGCATCGGAATATCTCTCTATATTCTATAGACTCTAGTCCAAGGTGGTACCAATGCCAATATTTTAGCGACAACATCAACTAAGAAATCAGGAGGATAGTTTCTGTATTATCCATTTTTCCATAATTCATACAATCCAGTACCTCTAATAACAAGAGTTGGATAAATCTAATTTACAATTCAAATATACTTTTAATCCATCAGGTCTGAAATCAGGATTTTCAAAGAACTCTTTAAAACTCTCTAAATCTCTTTCTACTCCCATATTAGGTAAATCAGGCATCATATGTGTAACCACTTTGTATCCACTATCTTTACTCATTGCAAAACATTTCTTTACAGATTCAACTGTATGTCCTCTATTAGTATCTCTTGCAACTGAAATATTAGATTAGAATATATACTATCTTCATAAATTGATTGAACACCAACTTCAATACGAGTACATCCATATAATAACATATCACTCAAATGACTTTTCTAACAAAAATCAGGTCGTGTTTCTATGGTTATACCTATACACTTAGATCTACTCTCCTCAGAGAATTGGACTGATTCTTTGACTGTTTATGAACGATGGCCACTTAATGCATCATGCAAATTTCTAATAAAATAATCTCTGTATTCTTAATCCAAGGACATGAATGTTCCACCCATTATAATGTATTCCACCTTGTCACAATCATGACCCAATTATTTTAATTAAGCTATTCTATCTCTTGCTTGAATATATGGATTATATCTTGCTCTAATTGCTCTCATACTTGTAGGTTCATATCCTGTATAACTTTAAGTAGAATATTCAAAATCACTGTCAGGTCCCTAAAATCATTACATAAATGCTCATACTCCTGGACAATAAATGCAAATGTTTCCTGTAACAGCTATATGTGGACATCTATGAGGTTTGGCCATAACAGCAACCACTGCTATACCAGATGCTGTTCTCACTGGTTTTGCCTTCAAAATTGGTATCAATTTATCCTTATAGTCATCTGGAATGGCTGATAAGATTTCAACTATCTTAGGTGCTCCTGAGATCTTATTCTTTTTTGAAAACTCTGCTTTTATTTGTGATAAATTAATTTTCTAATTGCTATCATACTATTTAATCAATTCGGCAACTATTTCTGAAATGCATTTCAATTTGTCCACTGTGGAATCTTATTATTTTTTTCCCTTCTTCTCTTTCTACTCCATTATAATATTAAAAAAGAATTATATTTATTATTGAAATTATCAAAATTAATTAATGATAATAATTAATGTGAGTATCTTTAAATATGTTGTTCTTCGTCTCTTTTCATACAAACTCATCCAATTTCCCATTGATAATCCAAACTTCCAAGTTAATCCTACTACATAAGTTATATCATGTCAATCTCATTATTATCCAATTTCCATCTCTATTTCCTATTCTCGTAAATCTCATTATTTTTATCTGTTTTATTGTCGCATCTCCTAGAAATTCCTATACTGATTGATATTTGATTATAATCTTCGAATTGCGTATATTCGCTTTGGTCTGGATTGAAATTTCTTTTTTTAATCTGACCATTGTTTAAAACATTAAAACATTAAATTTCCGTCTTTTTACATTCTCCTTTATTTCTTGGACAATAAAATTGACTTGTATCATTTATACAAAAAGTTGAGTCAACAATATCATTTATTTTATAATGACATCATTTCAATTGTTCTCCATGGTCAAATCCTAAAATATTATAGAAATGGGACACATGATGAACAGTATATATTTAAAAACAGAAATCAGTCTACAAATAAGTCAAAATGGCATGTATAATTATAAATTTAGTAAAGTATTCAGAAATCTCATTCAAAATTTTGTTGGACTTTCAGCAAACTTTTTAGTCAAATAGGAATTCCAAGAATAAAGCTTCTCAGTTAATTCCAGAACCTAAGGTTTTTTTCGTATTCTTTATGAATATTAGAATGAGTAGGCTCTCTATGAATTCTTTGTTGTTAATGGAGATGTAACAATAGTCTTAATCTCAGTGTCCTCTTCTTCAGGCACTGGAGATATATCTCCAAAACTTTGTAGTGTTGACAATTACGATTGCTCCTATTTCTACATATCAATCTATAATTAATAAAAAATATAATAATATTAATGATATATTAAATCTTGATTCGATTAATAATACCATTTACCGACAAAAAACCTATGCAAGAAAAAGAATCTATTTATTTTAATTATATCCTAAACAGTTCAGTTAATATAATAAATTCTCTCCTCTGTTTTAAGATTCTCTATTCAATGGTACTAATTCTATCAACAAACAAATTCATCATAACCCATAACTGTGTAAGACAAAATTCAAATACTAATACTAATTGTTTAATAAAAAATCAAAAATTTATTTAATCAAATTTATTTTATATTCTGCTAATACCTTTGAGAATCATTATCTAATAATTCATTTTTTAAATTGAAATCATTATTATTTATTTTGATTTTTTCAATATCACCGAAACATTTTTTCGCATCTATATTGAATCTCAAAATGTCAATTTGCTACATGCTTCATTTTCTTAACTTACTTACTTATGTATTTTTATAAAGAATTTATAATATATATATATATGTTATTATTAAATTATTGATTTAGATAATAAATTTGAAGCATGATAGTATTTTATCAAAATTTATTTCTCAACCATTCTAACCAGGATGTTATTAATAGGATATATAATTCAAATGAATTTAAGCTATAAATATCATTCCCATTATTTGTTATATGTATTACAAAAATTAAAAATCCTTTATTAATTATGTAATTCTATGTAATAAAGTTGATACCTTCTTTTGTTGAGATTTATTATCTTAAGTTTATAATATCTGCAATATTAAGACTTGTTGATTAAGTATGATTGCAATTGAAAATTCGGATAAAAAGATTTATTCTTATTATCAATATCAAATTTGATAATAAGAATGAATAAATTTATATAACAAAGGTATTTTCCATATTATCAATTTTATATTTTCAAGTTGCTTCATTCTAGATAGTGTCCATCCATAAAGTATTAAGAAATGAAGTTTTTCGATTATGAAAGAAATTAGTATTTTTGAAAAATAGATGCCAATTAAAATGAAAAATCAATTAGATAGTATATGAAAAACGGCTTATATGAAGAATTCCTTCAAATTTTCGAGGGAAAAAAATAATTTTAAGCTTGAACATTTATTTTCAGTTTACCTGAATAATCCTTGGACGAACTCAAATTTAAGAGTATTTAAATCTTCATAACAGAATAGTTCTAGCGAATAGAGGAAAAACTTTGAAGGTCCATTGTAAACATAGCAATAGGGAAATGGTCTAGTTCACTTTAAATTAGTTTTCCCAAGAAAATGTAGCAATAAAATTAGAAGACAAGTAATATAAATGGAAATTTGTCTCAGGTAAATAAAATTAATAGCGATAGTTATTAATTAATTATTAATGAGTAATTTTAAAAGAAATGATAATTTTCTAAAAAGGAAAATCCTTACAAAGCCTATTTTGGACATCCAGAATTAGATGTTTTGTTGGGTAATATCTTTAAAAGGGTAGATCATTTTTATTGAGTAAGACACATCAACCACCATTTATAAATAATTCTTGAGATATTGTATTGGTTATTCATTTCACAAAAATCATATTTCAATTATTTTTGATCAGTTTTGTGAACAATGGTCTAAAATCGTTCCTAAAAAATAAATTGAAAGCTTATAACATTAAGAATAAAAAGAATTACAACATAAGATTGCTTGCCAATACAATTAAATGTAATAGTAATTCACCATTAAGAATATTGATTCCTCTATATTTTATTTGGATTTATCTAAATCAGAAACTGAATAGGCTGTTGAAAATTACTGAAAACTAAATAATTATGATGAAATAAATAACTTATAATAATTCTTACAAATTATTACTAAAAAATACTAAAAATTATTAAAGACAAGCACTGATACAACAATTAAAAAATTAATTATTCATGATTTTTGGGATAAGATACCGTATAATCAATAAGAACTCTATCAATTTTTGTATTCATTGAAAGTGTTAATACGATCATCGTATATCCTCTGTGTTCTAACTCTTCCTGAAAGAATAACAGATTTAATGTAGTTTTGTGATTTTTACATTACAATCACTTAACTTTTTGGAAACAAAGAATTTTCTGAATTTCAAGGAATGATCAAATTAGATAAAATTGTGTGGTGTGGTTCTCTAAAGTAAGTATAATTAGATAATGATAAATGGGGAATCAAAATTACATAAAAGTAATTGAAAATAGAATAATTATATGAGACAGCAATAGAGGTTGATTCAGAGGAGGAACAAAGAAGAAAAATAAAATTGACCAATTTTGATGTTTAATTAAATAATTAAGATAAATATTTTTATGATAATGAATCATATTTAATCTAGATAATAATTAAAATCATCAGATATAAATTAATCATTATTTTAAAGCCTTTGAATAATTATAGAATAATTTGATAAATTTAAAATTTATTATAATGGTGTTATTCCTTATATAATATTAATTTGTAAGAATATCTCATACTTGATTACCAATAATAATCATTAGACCAATTACTAACTTTTATTATTCAATCTATTTTATTATATTTTAATAATTTTAATAATACATTAATGGATAAATCGGTTAAAATTAATGAAAAGGGAATGGGAATTACGGATTAAATTTAGAATGAAATAGTCACAATTGTTAAAAATGCAATCTAAGTGCATAAACAATATTTGGGTGAGGTCTGCAACTAAATTGCAAATGTATTGTGTCAAAAATATGGAGGCTGGTGGTGTTGCTTTGTAACAGACAAGGATGCCAATTATGGATCGAGATTATTTAACTTTGATCATATGTACCTAGATGCAACGATTGAATAGAGGAGATTCACAATTTTTAAATCAGCAAAATGATTATTACAATTATAACCAAATCAACTTATTAATTGTAATTATAAATTGATGTGGTCAAGAGGTCAAATGTGTTAGAATTAGGTTATTTCATTAAGTAATCAAATTCAATTGGGCGTCAACATTTCTTTTAGTGGCAATTATATATTCTTATAAAATATACTTATTTAATCATTTCTTAGCACTTACAGGTCGTTTAACACCATTACTTTATTTATTTACTACTGCCGATTATGGTCTTTATACATAATGTTATTAATTAAATTATTAAGATTCGTCTTGTTGGAGATCGTAAAACTATTACTAATCAATAGTTTATCTTTTCATATCAGCTTAATAATATTTTCCGTCTGTTCCTTTAACCTAAGATAAAGAGAAAACATTACTCTTTATTAATTGGTAGTGCTACAACTAAGACAATTAATTGGATAAAGTTTTTTAGTGTTGATTCCTATAATTTAATCTGTGGGAGGAGAGGCTGATTATTAGAAATTCATAGGCGATTTTTTTAATTGGACTATTTTAAAGATATAAGAGAATACCTTATAAGGCTTCTATTTCTCTTCTTAAATAGTTGATAGTTTCCATAGCTTATCCTAATCTTGTTTCTAAATTAAATAATTCTCTCTTCACGTCGTCTTCATTGGCTTTGACTTTCACTTACCTCATTAATCCATTAATGTCAACATCTCTAAATATTCTAGTCACTCTTCTTTCGATTTCATTTGCATTTTCAACTTTATGGCCTATGTCTTAGAGATCTTTTTGTATTTTTCTAATTTTATCATCTTCTAGACTTCCCTGTTATTGGAATTGCTCAAACATTCTATTGATTTCATCTTTGGTGACATATTTAGATTCTTCTGGAGTTTATGATTATTGTTGTTATTATTATTATTATTAATATAATTATGAAAAGAACTGGAAACTATCATAACGTGATTTGAATTCTGCATCAAGAGTTTCCCAATGCACATTATTTCTGATTGACATTTCTTCTAATTTTTTGATGTCTCCTTCAAGAGTGCATATTTTATGAGGATCAATTTTTGATAACAAATAGGCTACATTTTCTGCATTTAAATTCATATCCTTTAATGCTTCAACTCTTTCTTTGGCTTCATCATTCAATCTTTAAATTCCATCTTCTAATTATTTAATTTTTTATCTATGTTGATCTAATTGATTAGAAACATCCAATTTATTTATAGCAGTGGCTAATCTGCTATTTATATCTATTATCTTATCTCCTTATTGTTTATTCTGCTCTACTAATTTATCAATTAAGTTGATTTTAGACTTTAATCTTGAAAATATTGATATAAATTTACAAGTCGTTCATTTCATTTAATTATAACTTTAATTTTGATTACTTCTCTCCAACTGTGTCATCAATGCCTTTAATTTAACTTCTAATATAGGCTATGTCCTATTAAAATTTAATCAATTGATCATTATTTTACATTTGTTGAATCTAATATTAAATATTTTAATGTACTTCTTTCAATATTTTATCTTCACTAGTTCTAATAGCCTCATTAACAAATTCTTCATTTGTTCTTTTCAATAATAGATCTTAGCAATCATGTATTTTCCATAAAGTTTTTCTTAAATATAAACTAATTCAGTATACCTTTCTACATCTCGAACTGCCTCTTCAAATTTCTATATATCAGTCGATAGCTTCTTCTCAACAGTGTCTAATTCATTTCTACCATTCTTCTATAAATCTTCAATCTATTATTCTAATTGATTTTTTTATTTCCTCATCTTCTCTTTACATTCTTTAGTATCAAACTTTGTTAACATATCATTTTCCAATTTTGTTAAACGTTAATCTTGTCTCTACAATATGTATCAATATCTACCTTCTTTTCTCTATAAAGATGTTAAATCATTGAGATAACTGAAAATAATTTTCCTCTGAATTCAGTTATAATTTTCTCCAATGCCCCCTTTCCATACTTTTACTTCCCTTATATTTGTGTTATGTATGTGCTTAACTAAGTTGATAATTCTTTTTCTATATCCTTGTCTGAAAAGTGCAATGAATCGCTTAATAATTGAAACTACTCTTGAACCTAATTTAGATCTAATGTTAACTAATAAAATAATTTCGTTGGGCCCAAGCAATTTCTTTATTCCTTCAATCTCCACCGTATGATTGTCAAGGTCAGCTTAGACTCCTTCTAAAAATTGTTTCAAATGATCATAATTAACATCCAATTTAAATAACGAAACTCCTTTCAAACTCAACTCATCTATTAATGAATATTGAACCATACCTCCCAACTCTTTTCTGCTTTTAGAACTTCCTTTGCTTTTATTATCCATTTGATTTAATAATATATAATAATTATATAAATAACTCTTTGTCTTATTACACTAGACAATTCAAACACACTCTTACATAAATAATTTTATAATCAGAAATCATCATCTCGAAAATTTTATTCTAATACTTGCTTAAATTGATTTAAATTGATGTTCACACTTTTATTTGATGCAAATAGTTTAAAAGTTTCAAAAATTTCCCAATCACTTAAAGTAGAATCGTAATTCCTAACAATAGGTTTATTTAATACAGCATCATATTGGTGAAATCTTGATAGCTCATTGTGTTTGAGGATGTTGCAAATTTCTAAAATAACTCAACTAAATTTAAATTGTTTATCTTTATTTCTTCATATAGTATTTAAATCAGTTATCTGTCTTAACTAAGTTCATTCTATTATAGAACCTATTAGACTTAACCTTTTTCAGGTGCTCCATAGATAGTGTTTGAACCACTTCTAATATCTGTTTCCTATTAACAAATCTAGAATATATGAGATTATAACATCATGTTTGATAAGCCAATCTAAAAGATTTTTGCATGTGACTTTTCCTATATACTCTTCATCAATAATTTTAAAGATATAATGAATTTATTCCTCTAACAAATTCTCATTTATAGCAAGGAAAATTCCAATAAAGTCTTCAATATCAAGAATTCGATCCTCATCCTCAGCCAATTATCTTAGTAATTCGTTGATACTAAGCGATTAAGTTACGGATTATTGTCTCATGCTCATTGCTATAGACAATTCTTTTTCCTATCATTCATAAATTATGTACTTCGAATAAAGCACCTACTAAACGAGCTTAGCTAAAATCTTATGCAAAAATTGGATGAATAAATACTTCTTCCCAACTAATTCTATCCACTAAAAATATAAAATCATTAACCTTCTTAAATAGCCAAGCATTTGGAAATAAAATCTTTCACTCCATTTGATACTTGATTGATAGAATCATGGAATACAAGAGGTTAATTATTAATATTTTTAACTAATTACGGAATTGATGAGGCTACCCAGGGAGCTTAGAAATTAATAAAAATATTCAATACTTTATCCATAAAGTATTTCATAGAACAGAAATCCTAAAGACCAAATATCACATTTCATGGAGTATTTTTCATTTCTTAATATTTATGGACTCATGTACAATGGTGTTCCTACTTGTGATTGCAATGTGTTTGGATTAAAGTTTTCCACAAATTTTGAGAAACCAAAATCTATTATATTTAGAATATAAAAAGACCAGCAAGTTTATATGTATTGTTATGTATTAAAATATTTGCAGGTTTTAGATCTCTATGAATAATCCTGTACTTGAGTAACTCATAAAAACCTTAAAGAACATCAAGAATGATATTCAATGCCATTTTTTCATCAACCAATTTGTTCTTCTTCAAAAACCTAGGATAAAAAATGAAATAGACTTGGATAAATCTCCATTCTCACATAATTCTTGAATGATATAGATATTATTTTGAGTCTCCAATACATCTATAAGTTGAACTATGTTTTTATGATTTAACTTTTTCATTATATTGATTTCGGTCTTAAGTCCACTTTGACCTTTTGGATCATTAAGCAAATTATCCTTTGCTATCATTTTCATTGCCACATAACGATTGCTGTTTAAATCAAAGCCTTGGAAGACAGTGCCAAATGATCCAACACCAAGTACATCAGAGGTAAGGAATGTATAATTATCTATGTTTTTTTCAGTCATTTGGTTTTATGATTTAAAAAAAAAAAGTATTATTTTTGAATACATATTTATTTTGAAATAATATGTCTCTTTTGATAGAATGTAATATATATTAATTAATTTGAAACTCGTTAGCCCACAGTTTTAGGCTACAAGACGATGAGATCAATTCTTCCAAAAATCTAGAATTCAAACAATATTACTAGCACTCTACCATTTATAAATCGCAGCTAAATAATGTTATTGGTAAGCATTTAATAGCAATTTTAATCTGATTACAATTTCAAATTTCCAAATTAAAACCTTTATAACATCGAAGGATTCTAATAATAATTAAATATAGATTTAACCACACATTGAAAAAAATCAAGTATGAGTCACTTAGTCTATTTAGTACAAGGATTTAGTTCCAAATTGTGATAGTTTCAGAATATAAAGTAGATATTCTAGGCCAGAAATTATTTAATTTAATTTAATTAGGAAGTTAATTATTTCCATCTCTTTATCAAGCAAATTTAATTTAAAACCACCCAAATTTATGGGTATGATTCAAAGAGTTTATTATTTCTTGATGTTAAGCTGTTGAAACTCTAAAGATTTCAATTGCTTTAGCTTTGGTATTTTATTTGCTAGTTTTGATTCACTATTGTATGGGTGATAAGATAGATCAGGAAATGGATGGCTTGATGGAATTGACTATCTTTGGAACCATTTGTATTTAATATAATTTCTGAATATTTATATATATATCTTATTTTAATTATCTGTTCAAATAATAATATTAAATGGCTTCGCTAAATAAATTAAGTAGCAACGACATCGGAAATATTGATAGATAGATTGCTAAATTAAAGCAAGGATAAATATTGACAGAATCAGAAATCAAGAGTTTATGCATTAAAGTTTTCGTATATTGCAATTATTTAGGCGAAAGAGATTTTATCAGATGAACCAAATATCATATAAGTTAGAGCACCTCTTACGATTTGTGGAGATATCCATGGTCAATTTCATGATTTAATAGAACTCTTTTAAATTGGAGGAAACTTACCAGTATTTACATTTTGCAAATCTGTTCTAGGATACAAATTACTTATTTCTGGGGGATTATGTAGATAGAGGTTCGCAATCTGTAGAAACATTCTCATTAATGCTCTCATTAAAAGTCAGATATAAAGATCGCATTGTTTTATTAAGAGGTATTAATCATAATATTCTGCTAGGAAATCACGAAAACAGAGAAATCAATAAGGTATATGGCTTTTATGATGAATGCTTTCGTAAATATGGCAATGAAATAGTCTGGAAGTAATTTACAGAAGTATTTGGTTATTTGCCACTCTCAGCAATTGTAGAATAACAAGTAACTTAAATTCTAATTCAACCAAAGATCTTTTGTGCACATGGAGGTCTATCGCCAGCAATGGAATCAGTCGATCAAATTAAACAATTGAATAGAGTTTAAGACATCCCCCACGAAGGCTTGATGTGTGATCTACTTTGGAGTGATCCTGAAGAAACTAAAAATGGTATGTCATTTCATAATACCTCATCAGGTTGGGGCATTTCGCCAAGAGGTGCAGGTTGGACTTGGGGATGCGATATTACAGAGAAATTCCTACATTCAAACAAACTCAAACAAATTGCCAGAGCACATTAATTAGTGATGGAAGGAATTCAGAAAGTCCATAATCAAAAGACTATTACTATCTTCTCTGCTCCTAATTATTGTTATCGTTGTGGCAATCAGGCTTGCATTGTAGAAGTTGATGAACAACTCAGAATGAATCAGTAATTCTATTCCTACATTCTAGAACCTAATTTGAACCCGCACCTAGAGAAAACGAACCTCATACAACTAGAAGAGTACCTGATTATTTTCTTTGAAATATATAAATATGTTATCTAATATCAATTAGTGTCTCTTCGACATTATGCTTTACAACCCATACTACTTTACTCATGCACAAATTCCATACAATTTCCTCTAGAAGCTCTACATTTTCCAATTTGCCAATTAAGGTATACTATACCTCTCCTTTATTCAAACATCACTCTTATTTGTTTCCCTTAAACTATTACCTAAACCCAAATACTGGGCAAGAAACAAGTTTTGGACTATACTCCCCTATTCACAAGGAGCACTTACACTTATTTGGTTTTTCAATCGCTACATCATTCCCAACGAAGGATTTCAATTCGTATTTGGCAAATAAATTCAACACATCTAAGAACAAAATCTGCTATAAAAACCTTTACTTTACAATAGACAATACATAATTAACAAGTTGATGTGTTACAATGAAGATTAATCCAAAACTACATCTAATAAAAAATTATCCCTCAATTAAAAATTAAAGGATGCCAATCAAATCATTATAGATAAATCTCTTGACAATTCTAAAGTCCGATAAATTTACTAGTTAGAATTCGATCAATAAATATATTCTGATATTCTACTCTATAAAAGAGATTTATAAAGCTATCAATTGAGTCCTCCCTGATTCATGAGAAAATGAGATATTATATATTTATATAAAACGTGAATTCGACTATATCTATTATTTCTTACTATTTCTTAATACTTGTCTTATTTATATTTTTTTAGTTTTTTAATGAAGGATCTTGTTGTCCCTTTAAACAGTTTTTATTGATTATTATTGTTTACAATTTGTGAGGTGAGACACAATATAATAAATAAATCATATTTGAATTGTTAATTTAAGATGATTATTAATCATATGAAATATCATTCTAAGCCTAATATCCAATTTAGTGTATTCAACATTTATTTACATAAATGATCGTTATTTCCAATAATTTATATTGTACATTGCATATTCGGTAATACTATAAATTTGATCATGTAATTTTAATTAACATTTGTCAATTCAAAAATGCCACCTAAATTAATGTATATTATTACAAAGTTTATAAGTGATGTATTTTAATTATCTATCATTAAAATAATCCAATTATTGATCCTAAAATTATTGATATGAATTGAATTCACATAACTTTGGAAATATTCTAAATTCATTTTAAGTTTTTACTTTTTTAAATAATTTCCTGTTTTTACAATTTTTGGATTCAACAAAAATGTATCTCCTCTGAAAATTTATTATTTCTTCTATCTCCATTTTGTTCTAAAGACTTATAAACTTATATCCTTGAAATCCATAAAGGAGACTAATGTTGTTGTTAAAAAGAAGTTTGATGTTATCTATTTGTTAGCCCACTCAGCTATTAATAAATAAATATTAAAAGTTACCTGAAAATACTACATTCACCAATCTATAATTTTCAAACTATTTAAAAATTCCTATTACTTCTTATTAAACTTATTGACCTGGTTCAATTTTATCAGGAATCTTATCTGGCTTTAGCCACATCGAAAATTCTTCAAATATCATAATTTAAATTACGTTTATTATCTCCTTCGAATTACATCTTGCACCTTTCGAAATTTGATTGGGTCTTATTTCCAATATATAAAATTAACTTTAAATAGTTTTTCTCCTTCAAAGGAACATATTGTAATGCTTATTTTATTCCTACTTAAAGCTAAGGGGAATTTACTAATGCAGCTTTACCCTTTATAGTAGCGAGTTTAAAACGCTTCTTTTAAGATTCTGATAAACCATATGTATGTAATAACTCAAATTAGGAATTGTCATATTTAGCATACTTTCCTGTATACTACTTGATTGGTATCTATTGATCCATTTTCAAAGGGAAATATTATTAAGTTAAAGTGGATTAGCTTAATCCATCAAAATTTTCATCAAACTCCTTCTTTTTTGCTATATTAGAGTTTAAATGATTCATAGGAGGTTATTCTCTTTTATTTTCTCCATGCAGATAATTTTAGTTTGGCATTTCTAATAAATTATTATTTTTTTCAAATTAATTAGCATTAGCTTATTTTTATTGATTTTATTAGTCAAAAGTAGAATAAATGTAGTTCTAATTAATATTATTTTACTATTAGTTTTACTTTTATTATTAAAATGATGATTACTAATATTATTATTACTAATATTACTAAAATTACTACTATTATTATTATTATTATTATTATTATTACTGTTAATTTACATATGATCCTAATTTTGTTGGTGTCATGTATTACTAATTATCTGGATTGGGAGTTTGAAATTAATTGTTCCAATAATCCTCAATTTCTTTTTATTTTTTCTATTTTTATAATTATTCTTCAGCTTCTAATCTATTTTATTCTTATTTTAGTTATTCTAGTTTTAATTGCTCTCTTTTCTTCTCTTCTAATCTTATTTATTCTTACTTAATTTATTCCTATCTAATTTATTCTTATTTCTCTTGCTCCTTTCTTTCATTCTCCCTTTTTTATTCTTCAATCCTCAACTATTCCTACTTAATTTACTCTTCTCTAATTTTGGCTAATCTTAATTCTTCTTCTTACTATCTCTTAATTTCTTCTTATTTTTTTTATTCTTCAATTTATTTCTATTATATTTATGAATGTTATTATTGTATTTTTGATTCTTCGATAGCTCTTCTTAGCATCTCATCTTCATTTTAAAATTATGAATATTGTTATTACTATAAATTTTGTTACTTTAATTCTTTCTATTATTTAGGAGGTGGGTAATCAAAATCCTTATTTTATATTTTCTAAATATGAGCTAATGTCTTCTTTTTCAATGAATTATAAGCTCCTGGAGTACATTCCTTTTCAAGATAACCATAATAATATTTTTAGAATTTCTATACAAAATCTTTAAGGGAATAGAGTTCTGCTAGTTCATCCTCATTTAAAACGCCATCATACTGTTCTGCTTTACGGATGAGATTTTCAAACGACTTTTCCATTACATTCATAGATTCACTATAAGTAACTAAAACTTCATTTATGTATCCCATATCAGAATCATTAACCAAGGTTTCATTAATCATCTCAATGTCTTATTAAATTGCCTATTTTCTTTGATCTTAAGTAGGATATTTAGTTTACTTAGTTAAAGCATGGTTTCATCCCTTTATTTATTATTATCAAGTTGTTTTGAAATAGGTTCTTGGGAAGCCTTATTAGGATCAAATGGCAAAATGAGACTTGATGAAGGTGGGAATTTAACCTAATATTTTGTATAAGGCATATACTCCCATTTAAAGTAATTCGTCATATTGGATTTTGAATTTAGTGGGTGAACCTTTTGAATCTTTTGGAAATTTGGTGGCAAGATGTTCAACCAATTCAAGGGCCAAGTTTAAGAATTCAACACTTGATTGGGGATCTAAATTGATATTGGATAGAACCTTATCCTTGAAATAAATCAGCACCGCGATTGGGATTGCCATCCCCTAATTTATGAGTACAGATATTTCCAATGAATGTCAACAAAGGTCTAGTTTAAATGTATTTGTTTATAAATTTGGCAGATTTGATAACGATTGCATCTTTGATAAGCTAAGATATGATTGATAATACTCTCAAGATTAATAATTTCCTCAAGGGTGGTTCATTTGAATTGAAAACATGGAGAGCATATTCAATGGTGGCATCAATTAATTCAGGGTCATTAGCATGAAGTTTGTCAATGATTTTTTATGCATTTCTATTGTAGGCAGCTTTGTCTTGAGTGGCAGTTTGTATTTATATTTGTTGCATTAATAATATGAATTAAATTTTGTAAATACCTCCAAAGTATTATGCAAATTTCAATAAGAGTCAACCAAAGGAATATTGGGATTATGATAATTTTGAGAATGAATGGGGAGTATAACTAAATATTTAATGTTAATAGGATAGTGATTAATATGAAGTGATAAGGAAGATAGGGAGGGGGAAATATTCAGATGTGTATGAAGGAATCAAGTATCCTTAAGGGACAAGAGTAGTGATTAAAGTGTTGAAACCAGTGAAGAAATAGAAAATAAAAAGAGAAACTAAAATATTACTCACAATTAGAGGTCATCCAAATGTGATAGAGTTGTCAGACATTGTCAGAGATCCATCATCTAAAACACCATGTTTGATTTTTGATTACATCGATCATGTTGATTTTAGAAGTTTGTTTCCTAAATTAACTGATTATGAAATAAGATTCTACCTTTTCGAATTAATTAAAGCCTTAGACTATTGCCATTCAAAAGGTATTATGCATAGAGATGTAAAACCACAAAATATAATTGTTGATCCAAAAAAGAAATTGTTAAAATTACTTGATTTTGGTTTGGCTGAATATTACCATCCAGGACAAGATTACAACGTGAGAGTTGCATCACGTTATTTCAAAGGACCAGAATTATTAGTTGATAATGTATATTATGATTATTCATTGGATATATGGAGCACTGGAGCAATGATGGCATCTATGGTATCTAATTTAGATAACCTTAGATCTTTAAAAAAGAACCTTTTTTTTAAGGTTAGGATAATTATGACTAATTGGTTGTGATATCTAAAGTGTTGGGAACTGAAGAGTTACAAGCTTACATTAAGAAATATAGAATTAGATTGGATCCTGTATTGGAATCTAAATTAGGAAAGTAACTATAGAATCTCTGTTTATTAGTTATCCAAAGAAGGAATGGGTTAAATTTATAAATGCTGAAAATAAACATTTGTGTAGTGAGGAGGCTATTGATATTCTCTCAAGAATGCTCGTTTATGATCATGTAAAACTATTCATCTATTTCAGGCCCTCAGAATCACACCTAAAGATGCAATGGATCATCCATATTTCTTACCTGTCAAAGGTAAATGATTATCATTATCATTGTTATTAAATTTATCATAAATAAACAATCATCAATCATCCTGGCAGCCTTTTACTCTTTCCATTTAGAAGTTTTCTGATGAATGGTAGAGGTGTCCCTATACTCTATTGCATATTATCTAGAATTGGAAAATTGTATATAGTTTTCTTCGGAATTATTTAAGTAATGTTGATTTATTCAATTGTCTAATTAAATGGAGAACCACTTAAATGAGATGAGGCTCTCTGTTTGTTTTCAAATCTGAACGACTACAATAACTTGCTATTTGTTCTCCCTCTCTTCTGAATCAAATTCCTGCTCTCATTACTGTTGGCATTCTTAGATCGAAATTCCCAATTCTGAATACTCAAATCAGGATACAATGATGGACGTGGCTAATCTCTAATTAACATCTATTAATTACTTTTTGGTCAGCAAATATAAGGGAGTGGCCTTAATTCTCCTTGATACACTCTACACTTTCATATGTTTAAAAATAGCATCTCCTTATTCTATCAAATTCTAATGGCTTAATTCCTTCTTCATTTGATTCTAAAGTTCGTTCAACTTCTCCTTATCATAATCTTCGAATATCTCTGCATCGGATTAACTATTATTCTCATCATCGGAATCATGTTTTACTTCTGTTTATTCTACTTTCAATGACATTTCATTTATTTTCTTTAGCAATTGATTTGATTCTATAATTCATATCTTTAGCCTTACTTAATTATTTTTAATGCTATTGTTTCATATTCAAATACAGAAATATTGTTTCTGCTATGCAAAATCCACTTTTTACCCAATCACAACTCATGAATCTCACATTCTTTCCCTTTTAATAACCACAAAACGAAGCTTCTATGGTATAGCAAATAGATTCAATAAATTAATTAGCATAAGCTCTAGCTGTTCCCATTTTAAATTTTGGTATTCCAAATTCACACGATCTGAATCGAAATGAATCCAATCTTTATTAAAGAATCAATGGAATTATCTTGGTTTCAGAACTAAGTGTAGGACAATACATAAATATATTCTTCCTGACCTAATGACCATGAAAATCAAAATAGCCAATTAGTTTTTATTGATTATCTTCAATCAAACATTTCAATGCTTTCACTTCTGGTAATAATGTCAGATCTGCCTCCTAAAATTATCTATTTAGATCTACTCCACTTAAACCATTTCTGTAATTGCCTACTATTACTCCATCTGGATTCAACATTGGTATTATCTTAAAAATTATGCTGTTTTGTTATATAAAATTTATACTTTTTCCTTAGATATTAGGCCATGAAAGATTCGCCTAACAAAAATGAGATAAAACCTTATATCATATAAGAACTGCAAGTTTCAGACGGATGCACTCTAGCTGTTAAAATAATAATCTTTTTATTCTTGTCGATAGATTTATCAGTGATTATTATTAGAGGCAACACCAATCCAGATAAAGTATTTGATATTTTTAATTTAGTGAAATATTGTTTTGATGATTTACTCCATTTTTTAATTTTATTTATTAACTAACTGTAAGTGTAAGGTGGCAGAGTTGCAAATGAGACTTCATCATTTTCATACTCAAAATAATATGCAAAGGAGAGTATAAAGTATTAGCCTTGTTATTGATATTTGATGTTATCACCTTATTGAGTAAAATATTTGATTTTACTCTTTTCTGATAATACATAAGGTTTCATTCCTTTAATATATAAGCTTTGAGGTTTTGTGAAATTGCAAATATTAAATTTGACTTTTCTTTATTCATTTTATGTTATTTTAAAATAAAACCAATTACTATGACCTATAGAATTGGTATCAATTCTCATATATAAATTATATTCGTCATTTGAAATCTAACAATATGATTGAATTAATTACTTAATCAACTCGATCAAGATTGCCAGATTCGAAGTTAGAATCAAATTTCATTCCTTATTTTATCATCCCAACAAAAGGTCTGTAAATTTTCGGTATTTAAATTTCAAAATCCTATTGTTCCTCTGTATTATTAATTAGCATATGAATTTATTTAGTATTATAGAATGGTTAGCTCAAGTAAATCGTTTTATTGTTAGTCATAGCTTTTGGAACATCTAAGTTTAAAAAGCGACATTATTTTTTTGATTCTTAAATCATGGGCTTATTTTCAAAAGTGTTATTGCCTTCTACATTATTTTAGACGGTTTTGGATTTTTTAATGGATTGTTCTAAATCTTATTGATCAATATCATTCGATGAATCAAATCCTTCTCTTGAACTGCATTGTTTAAGAATCATTTATATAAAATTATCATTTAAGGGGTATTTAATTATTGATTATATATGTGAAGATTAACTAAATATTGGAAGAGAATCTAAATTACAGAATTCTAAGACAATTCAAGTTACAAACGGAAATTGAAAATAATTATTAATCAAAAAATAACACGTTGCATTAATTTATTTATTTAATGTTTGTTCTTCTCCTATTTTCAACCATTTAAGCACTTTCAACTGGATTAGATGGTGGCAAAGAATTGTGTATGGGAGTCTAAGGAAAGAGAACGGCATTATTCTAAATCTCTTTTGTGGTCTCTGGATTCTAGGAAGACAACATTGAGATGAAAGTAAAATTGGAAATATTAAATTTTAGTTCTATTCTCCAAGAAAAACTCTTTTGAAATCTAGTATAAAATAGAAGGAAGGCAATTATAAAGAAATAATGACAGATGATGGATAATACGAAGTCTGCTTCAAATCATTAGATAAATATTATAAATTGATTAGTTTTAACTTTGACTTTGTAGAAGAAAACGATTTGGCATTGGCAGGTAAATCATTATCTTTATGTGAATAGAAACTATGGATTAAATGGCTGAAGATATGAAATAAGCTTATAGAAGTTTAAAAACAATCTAAAATAATTAACATTATTAAAACGATAGAGAAAATGAACATTAGAGAATGCTAGAATCAACAGAAAAGAAGTTATGGTGGTGTTCAGCAGGCAAGATGGGAGCTTTAATTGTGATTTGCATTTCTCAAATTTATATGTTAACAGGATACTTCAAAGGGAAATCATTTGGTCCAAATGTTTGAGATTTTTATATAAATTAATATATTTATGGATTAAAAGCAAGATCATGCAAATACCATTCTGACTTAATTGGAGTCAGCAGAAACCCTAAACTCTCTGGAAGTGGCTAAATCTTTGTCTATTAATCATTAAGATCTTGTTGGGTGTCTATTGCAATTAGAATCTGCAAATTATATTAAGACAGAAGTACAAAGAATATTAATTATGATTAGGGATTAAAATAGGATTAATTGATCTTAACTGATGAAGGCAATACCATATTAAACTCTCAATCAGGAGAGTATGAAATCTATTAGAAAGTACCAGAAGCAGGAATATCAATGGTTGATTTATAAAAGGTATTTGGAATTGAACAAGTGCCTAAAGTGAAATAGGAATAAGGAGAAAAGAAAGAAAAATAAGTTGAAGATCCAAAAAAAAGGTAATTTGATTAAGGTTTTGGAAATGCTAAGAAGATGGGCTATATTAAGATGGATAAAGGAGTGATAACTAAAGTTGCTAATGATTTGCCTGATAAAATTAAATTGGAATTATAATCATTTAACACTATTAAATTAGGCTCATAATAAGCTAAATTATTAGTTGAAAGGAAACTCGCTATGATTTCTACTATTAAATATTTTGAAATCAAAAAAGGGTTTAAATACGCTCCAAAATTCAGAGAATAATTTGCAGCTTTAACTACAGAGTAATTATTAAGTGGAGAGTGGAAAGAGTGTGAATACAAAAGCATTAATTTAAATGCTGAAGGAGAAAAGAGTAATTAGTCTAATTAATAATAATAGTTTCTATGGGTAATTTGCATCCACTTTTAAAGGTAAGGAAATAGTTTTCATAAATACTTATTGGATTAGGATTTGAAGAAATGCCAACCAATCAATTTGTGGAATCTTCTTTCTGGAATTTCGATGCTCTATTTTAACCATAAAAACATCCAGCAAGAGATGCTCATGATACTTTCTTTTGCAGCGATCCAGAATTGAGTGAAGAGGTTGACACAACTCTTAGAGATAAGGTTAAATCTATGCATTAGACAGGAGGTGTTGGTAGTATTGGGTATCAATATGAATGGTCACATGAAGAATCCAGAAAAAATATATTAAGAACTCATACAACAGCTGTCTCTTCCAAAATGTTATATAGAATTGCATAACAATATAAAGAAAAGGGTTACTTCCCAAAGAAATACTTTAGTATTGATAAAGTGTTTAGAAATGAAACTTTAGATGCTACTCATTTGGCTGAATTTCACTAGATTGAAGGAGTTGTCATTGATAAGAATGCTTCATTAGGATAACTAATGGGTATTATTAGAGAGTTCTTTAGATAAATTGGAATTAATAAATTGTGGTTTAAACCAACATATAATCCATATACCGAGCCGAGTATGGAAATTTATGGTAAAATATATTCTAAATTTTTGTAGGATATCATCCTGTTCTAAAAAAGAAAGTAGAGATAGGCAATTCTGGTGTGTTTAGACCTGAAATGTTGGCACCTCTTGGATTTCCAGAAGATGTGAATGTAATTGCATGGGGATTGGGATTGGAAAGACCCACTATGATTTATTACGACATTCGAGATATTAGAACTATGGTTGGACCAGAAGTCAAAGTTGAAACTGTTAGATCTAATGCTTTCTGTGTCTTTGAAAGTAAGTGATATATTTTAATATAAATATTATATACAAATGCATTATCATTCCTTAGCAATTTTGCCTCTTTTCATTAATAATTTATTCTTTTTCTACATCAACTTGGTTTTCATCTTTCTTTATCTTTTTTCCTAAAATTTCTAAGGGTCTTTTATTGCTAACATCTTCGTTTATATCTTCCTCTCCCCTTTCACTTTATTTAACTCTTGTTAAATTACAGAATACATAGATATGAATTCTTGAGGTCCTAGCTATTTCTCTATCAATTTCAAAATCTAATAATTTATATTTAATATAGTACCTAGTCTATTATTGGCATATCTTATTATAATGATTGAATTTTCAATGTGCTCTCTATCATTTTTTGATTGCTTTCAAATCCATTACTCATTATGTATTTGTAAAATTCCATTAAATTTTCAATTCCTTTATTTAATTTTAATTATTTCGCCATTAAATTTGTTGTAATTTTTAATATACAATCAAAAATTAATTGAATTAGAGATTGCTGGTTTAATTCTTTTAATAAATTTAGATAATCTAAAATAAATTAGAATGTTAGTTCTTGATTTACAATAATTTGATTTCTTGCAAATTTTATTAAGAAGAGATATTTGGTTATATTTTACATGTTTTTGACAATGTGGTCTTGTTAAATTTAAATTTGAGTATGAATAATTGCTAAGTGCTTAGATCTTATAAATAATTAAATAGCCTGATTTGCAGTTTCTTAGTGTGGATATGATAAACATTTGAATAATTTACAAATAGTATTTTATTCATAAATTAAAATTAATTAGCTTTCATCAATTACATTTAGAAGTTTTAATAAAGAACAGAGTGATTCTTATAACTCTGGAAATTCTGAGACTGATATTGCCTCTAATTCATTAGCCCATTGACTATTTTTTAGGTTTTTGTTTTGAATATTCTTGGCTTAGATTGTATTTTTCCATTCATTCCAATTAGTGATACACTTATCAATTAACTCATTTGAAGATAAAATGAATTTAGATTAATAATACTTCAGATGATCTTTTAAAATATATAAACTCTCTAAGCCTGATATTTAAACCTTTAATTTCTCATTTGTCATCCAAATCAAAGAATTTTGAGTAAATTTCATAATTTTATCTTAAGTAGTCTTCTATATCAATATATTTAACACATTGCTCAGTTGTTCTTTTAGAGAATCTACATCTTCTTTAACCAATGCCACAATCAAAGAGAAATATGAAATTTCTGATAATTTATTAACAGTATCTTATGGGAAAAACTAGAATATTTATTACAAGCATTAAAGGATGATTTACCTTCCACCAAAATATTTATACTATAGATTTGCAATTATAAAATCATAATGTTATTATAAGACTTAACTTGATAAAGGATATTTTATTAGAAAATTAATGTAAATTTATTAGGATAGATGTTACGTCTTTTTGGTTGTTTATAACATGGATTCTCTAACTTTCATAATGATATCATAAATTTATGGCAATGGCCAAATTTCATGAATAATCAATTTCAAGCATTCTAATGCTTCATTGGATTCTAAATAGAGATCTATAAAATGAACTAATGTTTTTTATTATTGTAAAGTGAATTCATTGAGCTTGCTATCTAAAATAGCTTTTAATAAGAGAAATGAATCCCTGATAAATTATTCATCAGTTGATGTTATAGTAGATAAGCATTACATAGCATTTTAGACAATCTATTTTTTAAATTAGGTGACCCAATCGAACTTTTTGATCATTGCTGAAATGACTGATACACATTCGGTAATCATGTCTTTATGACTTAGACAATCTAAAATGATTGAGAACATCTTCTATAAAAGAGGAGAATCTTCAACATTTTAAATATTATGGTGAAGAAGCTTGATGCTAAGAAAATTTACAAGGCCATAAATAATTGTACTTGATGTTTTCAATTTGTTTTATTTGATGTAAGTAGATATAGATTATGATCCATAGGATGGTAATTAAATTGTCATAATATCTTCTTTAGTAATTCGTTTATAGGTTCCTTGAGCATAAGTAAAATCTAAATTGTGACTTTATTTCAAGGAATCTGCTAGTTTATAACTAGTTTCGCAAATCATGAGATAGATTACTTAAACTAAGTTTTGAACCGATGAATTATTAATTAATCCTAAATATAGATGTTCAAAGATAAGTCGAAGTTTGCTTTATAAATTGTGAGAAATCTAATATTGAGTAATATAATAATCTATAGTTCCAATTAATTTAGGTAGTGAATTAACAAAATTAATTAATTGACCAACCATTTTAAAATTCTGCATTCCTTTTTTACTTTTAAGTTCTTTAGTTTTCTTAGGTAAAGTCTCAGTATCTTTTTCTGTGCATAATCTTCCGAATACCTCATCTAATAATATTTCCATTATTTCTTCTAAGCAATTGTCAATTTGACCAATTTCGGTGATTTATTCTAATAATAATCCTAAAGTATAAGATAGAACATGATTTTCAAATCCTTAAATAAGTATAGATTTCATTTAAATGATGATGAATTTTAAAAATATAGGTCCAATTTTTCTACTTAAATCCAATAAGCATTTTCTGGTTTCATCTCTCACGTCATTATCTTTACTCTTCAATAACCTACATAATTTGCCAACAAGTCTATTTAATTCTACCATGAAGTTTTCAGGTGGCAATTATATAATCAATTCTGTCAAAGATATACATAGTTACACTCTATGTTTTTCATCCAATAAAAATAGATTTTTTAAAGGTAAATAAATTTACTTTAATAATATATTTGATCTTTCCTACCATTCCTAAATTTCATCAACAGTAATATCTATAATTTAATTCCAAAATTGATTAGAAACATCTTTGATTTCTCTAACTTTTGCTAAATCCTTCTCTTGTTAAATTAAGCTTCTATAACTGAATTCAAAATCGATGATTTGAGCATTTTATTATTCATCCTCAATACTTATGTATTATTGCAAGTAATCCTATAATTTTGATTCTGAATTCATTTGCAATCTTTCTTTAATCAATTTGATGACATTAAAATTGTCATCTTTATTAGAAGCAATCACTGTAATTGTCTTAATAAGAGCATTTGACAATTATTGTTTATTCCCTATCATGCTCTTCTCTAACTTTTTAGTCAATTATTGCATGAGACTTATTCTTCTATCAAAATCAAATTGGCTACAGATGTACCCATACATTTAAATAGAAACATCTTGTAAAGTTAAATAGTGTGATTTATTAGCGTCTGTCAATTTGTGTTTATGATTATTCAATTCACCTCCTGCGTAAAATATATAAAAATCTAAAAGAGGCAACATAATTTTAGATATTGAATCAATCAAAAGAATTGGAATTTATGACAATCTTTTCTAAATCAATTGAACACCCTTGATTCTTTTGGTTAATTATATATCAAATAGTAAATTGAATACATTTTAATCGGCATTCTCATTCTCAAACAACACTTTAAATTCACAATAATTGCTATCATATTATTCATCAATCATATTTAATGGTTGATTATTCAGAATTTATTATGTGTATTCATCTATCTTTATGCATAATAAATATTATTCAAATAATTAAATTGCAGCTTTAACTGAAGTTTCTTCGTTGATTTTCATTATTTAAATCATTTAAGGTAGATAATTTTATTTTATATAATCAGATTGTATATTCTTACTTAAATAACTCTTAAATATCTCTAAAACTGAAATTCTAATTGATAATTCTGAACTTGTTAATAAATAAAAGCAATTTTATAAAATTAATTCAGTTGTTTGTTAATTATTGTGGATGATCTTTTAAAATTGTAAACAAGCCTCTAAGCACTTTTCAAATTCAATCTCTTCAGTTACCTGATTTCTTTAGTTCATTGCCTTTAATAGATAAACGTCGTTTTCATTTAAAGGGTATTATTCCTTAAATTTATGAGCCATCGAAATTATGACGTCTACTAATAGATTTCTTGTGGTCAAATTCTTAACTAAAATTAAGAGTTTTGAATATGACTAAAATAAATCAACCACCAATTAGTACTCAACTACTATTTCTTTATCTAAAATGCATTTTATGCAGTTATTTAATAATTTACCCATTAAATTGTGATTATATATTTGACTATCATACAATTTAGGATTATTTATTTATTTACTGAACAAAAATAAACATTCATTCAGAATTGAATTCTTAATTTCCTTTCTATTCATCAAAATTGTATAAATTAGATAAACCATATTGATATCTTTAATTTAATCACTCTCTGACTCAATATTAGAACGAACGTTGTTCAATAGACAACTTAATAATAGTTCACCATATTGTTAGGAAAATAAAGAGCTAAGTTGATTTGGTTCTAATTCAATTGTTGCTGATGGTTCACTCAATTGATATATTGAATACAAAATACTATTTAGAATTTGAATACAATTTCTTTAGGATGAAATCTTTTGTGATATTTACTGTTTAAGTTAATGAGCCAATCGACCATCTTCATCCTAACCTAAATGAATTTGTTTGATGTAAGTAAAATCATATAATAAGAAAAATCTACTAAGGAGTAATTCGTGATTTTAACATAGGAATTATTAATAATCTTTTATCAAACAAATATTTTAGAGTAATTTTAATACTCCAGATGGTTATGATTTAGAATCTATCACTATTTTCTCAAATCCTTAAATGAATCCGTTATCTTATAAACAGAATTATAAATTGTTTTAGATCATCGATGTATAAGTTTGTTCACAATGATACTTATTTACTATTTAACATAACCTTTTAACTCCCACCTTCCATAATTCTTTAGATAAGGAAGTAACATTTTCATTTTATTTTAATTCATATGCTTGATTTAATAATTGTCTAATTATAGTGATTTATTTCTCCAATTATTCAACATTAATTTAATAACCAAATTTCTCAATCAAATTCTTTAAAATTTTCAAATATTATATCTTTATTTGAATAGGCACTTCATTTAAATCATTATGAAAACCGTGGTTAGCTTATATCAAAGTAATTAATTCATTTTATAAGTTTAGGTTGCTTAATTATTCAAATACTGCATTCCTTCTAACTTAAATGGCAGAATTCTTATGCTTTTTCTTGTGTAGTTTTTATTTACTAAATATTTTTGGATATAAAACATTAAGAATATATAATTTATATTATTCTTATAAATGTTAAGGTAGATCCAATTAAAACCTTATGATTTCACCTTTAAATGTATTACCATTAATCATCTATTCCATACTACTGAAAAACTCATTAATAATACCATGATATTCTTATAAATTATTTTAGATCTCTACAAATTTTATGTTATTTAATGCTATCATCTATGTCGATTCATCATCTTTTAGTAACCAATGTTTAAAAAGTTGAATTTAAGATGATTAATGTAACATTTTCAAATGAAATTGAGATGTTTTATCGCCATACCTTCTCTTATAATATTATTCTACTTTACTACAATTAATATCTTCGTCATACTATTATTACAAATATTTTGTTGAAATTTCGAAGATAGTTTGTTTAATAGATTAATTCAATTCACAATGCTGAATAGCCTACGCAAATACTTCATCAAAACAAACTTAAGACTCTAATTATTCTTCATCCTATTCTAAATAACAGTGTTTATCCAAATAAGACAAATTCACTTTTTCATATTAATAATGTGTAATCAAAAATATTCTCAAAATACTTTATATATTGCATTTAGATAATACTGTGCTCAATAACTCTCTTATTGTTTATCTAACCAATAAAAATTTAGTAAATGCAAGCCCAAAAGCATATCTTTCAATTTATTTATAATTTGTACTTTTATTAACTAAGTTTTTTAAATTAATTATTGAATTTTTAATTCTCCTCTCATTATCAATATTAATTTTCTCACTATCGATATCAATCATTAATTGCAATTATTCGGAATTCTCTATTTAATTTAACTGTTATGCACAGATCAATCTAATTTATCTTTTTCTACTCATTAAACCAATTTCTAAATGATTCTATGGAATATTTTTCATTAAAGTAAAGAATTCTTTTGTTTATAAATTCATTCTACTGAATAAATTATAAATAGATCTATTCAATTCAATTTATTTTATTTCTGGATTTTACAAAATTTTAATCATTATTCCATCTTCAAATGATTTATTGTCTTAATGTTATTCTGCATATAACAATTCAACTTCTTCTGTTATTTCTAATTTATGTTGGCTTAGTTTTTCGATTTTTTCTATTATTTCAGAATAATCTATTTTCTGATCTTAAGAAATTATTTTCTTATTTAAAATATTTAGAGTTACTTACAATTTATTAATTATTTATTATTTAATCTATGGTGGAAATTCTACCATCTGAATTAATTTACATAATGAAAGTATGTAAAAATTGTTGTCGGTTTCCAATAACTTGTTAAATAATTCTGAATTATATAATTGATCTAATTAATCAGGTGTCAATTTATCAATACAATGGATTTCATCTAATTTCAATAACAAAATTAATGCTTCTTCTTTTTATCTGAATAGCTACTAGAAAGTTGCTGCAATTAAGAGTTTATAAATATTGGAACTTTAATGAGTTGGCTATTACAAAATTACTTCAATAATGCTGGAAAATTCTTCAATTGTAATTTAGTTAAGCATTTTATTTACAAATGTACTGTTTGAAATGATGATCTCTTCAATTTATATATTATGGAGTCTTAATAAATAACCAATAGAATCAGAATCATTAACAAATGTTATAATTTCATTTACGATTTAAGGTGTAACCTTCCTTTTATTATTTTTCAGTAGTTCAATCAAAATTATTTAATCGAGAGATTATGTTCTCTATTTTAAATCTTTAAATATTTCCAATAAACTAATCATGATTTTTGGAGATTAATGAGGTTTCTCAACGACATTTTGAACCAAGACTATATAAAATTATGAAATAAGTTCTTTATTTTCTGTCTTCCAAATTTCATCAATAACTTTAAAAGTATTGTTTGCTAAGTATCCTTTGATTGATTAAATAGAAATATAGATGGAGTAACTAAGCTATTTATGATCTACGATACACAAAGCTCTATGTATTAAGGTTCTATTTTTTCTAAATAAATATCCTACAGCCTCAGAGGCTAATTTCTTGATAATATTAAATTTTGAAGAGAAGCAGACTTCTTACATTAGTTAAATGAAAGGTTCAAATTAATTTATTAACACTTTTTCTAAATATTTAATTGCATAAGCTATGAATAAGAAGCTCTTTTCTAAATGTTCTACTTATTCAATATCAATTTAAGATAAAATTTCTCTAATTGTTGTTTCTAAATATGGATAAAATTCTTCTCTCGTATCCTTAATTAAATATGGCAAGGTGTCGAGAACTAAATTTTTGCTACTCTAGAATATAGAATATTGATACCTTTTCTTTTAAGTAAGTATAAGCAATATCAAGTAATTATTTCAGATTGACTAAGATTTAAGGTAAGGATTATGCATAATTGTATGACTCATTCATATACCTTTTTTCCATTAATGTAGCTATGAAAATAGATTATATGTATACATAAAGAGCTTCGCTTCAACTCAATGATGTCTCTAAAGTAACAACCAGAGATATCTGATTTAGTTTCAATATGAATGTCTTCAATTCTACGTTAAAGATTAATATCAATTTCTTCTCTCTATTATTTTGTGGTTTTGAATCTGTGTCTTTTATCAACTTTTTCCTCAAGATGATAGTGTCGGATAACTCTAGCTGCTTACTTTGGTTCCTATAGTGTTTCTTTTTTTGATTGACGCTTTGTAGGAATATATTTAACCATAAATTAATAATTTAAGAGCAAATGAACAGAATTGATCCTTTATATAATTTTTTATAATAATCTTAATGAAATATTTGTTGATATTATTAACTATTAGGATTAACAAAATGTAAATGATTTCATTTGATTTTGAATGACTTATGGTTTATTTCAAATAATAGAAAAATGATTAATTTACATTAAATAGTATCAAAGATAATTCAATGAAAAAAGGTGAGAATTCATATTTTTGATCCTAATGAGTTAGTTTATTTTTATTTACAACATTATTTATAGATTTTTAAAACATAATTAATATTAGTAATTTTTTTCATACTAATTTTATATAACTGAGGAAAATGAGAGATCACACGAAAGTTGAATTTTAATGAAAGGATTTGCATGGCTGAATAATATGGAGCATCATAACGCACGATTAATGCGACTTAAAAATATATTTAATAATTCAAAAGAGGCAGGTAATGCAATAAGTAGGTTAAATGAAGAAGAGATCAAAGTTAGTAGGTGATAACATAAATATACTTTTGAAAGAAGTTAGATGAAGTGGAAATCTATAAAAAGTGAATTTCGAAGATCCGGATAATTCTGATGAAGAAGAAGATGTTTTAGATCTGGAAGAGTTGGAGGAATCAGGATGAAGAAAGGGAGAAGAAAGGGTGAAGCAAAACAAGTAAAAAGAAAAAATTAAAGTAATTTTTTTAAATATAATAAATAGGATTAAGAATTATACAATGTTGACAAATTGTCAAATTCAGAAGCAATGTTGAATAAAAAATATAACATTCAAAATAGAGTTTATGATATTCTCATATGTACTGATGTAAAACTTATGGATTTTTAGGTAAATTTGATTTGTGATAATTTAAGAAATTGAGGGAAGATTAGTTGAAAACTTTAAGATAATTATATGATGTATTAATGATGGATCCACCTAGGTAATTGTCAAGTTCATAACCATCAAGAGGAGTTGCAATTGCTTATTAATTCATGACTGATGAAAATATTAGAAAAATGCCCATAGAAACATTGTAGGAAAATGGTATTATTTTAATATGGTAAAATTATTAAAATTATTAATAAGGAAGATTAATACTAAATATAAGGTAACATGTAAATAAATTGAACAATGGGGTTATAATGTAATTGATGAAATAAAATGGTGTAAGAAGACTGTGAATTGGAAGATTGCTAAAGGCCATGGGTTTTACTTATAACATGCGAAAGAAAATTGGCATAAAAGTAACTGTCTTCATTATTTCTAAACTAGGGTAATCTAAATTTGATCCAAACAGATTAAGATAAGATGTCACAAGTGATATCATATTTAATTAAAGAAGAGGTTAAAGTCAGAAACCAGAAGAAATATATTGATATTTTGAACAACTAGTTCCAAATAGTAATATAACATTATTTTAAAGGCTATTATTTGTAGATAATTGGGAGAAGAAATAATGTTAGAGAGAATAGGTAAATGATAGGAAATGAATTATGATATTGTATCTATTTTTGAGCTATTTTATTTTGAAATTAAATCCATAGATACTTAGATACTCGAATTATTATTATATTATTGATAGAATATGGGCTGTATTTGTAAAACTTAAGCAAATTAATAAACAATCAAAACCAAACTTGTTATTGTGGGATTGGAATAGAGTGGAAAAACAGCCATATTCGAATATATTAAGCGAGGAAATTTCTTTGAAACTCAGCCAACAGAAGGTAAGGGTTTAGATTATATGATAAGGTTATAATGTTGATTTTAATAATAAGGATTATTTGATATTTGATTTAGCGGGTAGAACACCGAATTTATGGTAGCATTATTATTAAAATGCAGATGGAATTATATTTGTCATTGATTCTTCAAAAAAAGAAAACTTATAATAAGTTAAGGAGTAGCTTATGAAGTTAAATCAAGATATAGAATTATTGAATGTAAAACAAAAACTTTAAATAGATAGGAGTTCTGATTATGTTTACAAAATCAGATTTATAGCTTATTGATTGTGAGGCTTTTTTGGAAGAATGCGAAGTCTTAAAAAACACAGAATAAGAAAAGGTTTGGTAGAGTTGCAGTTCTAAGACAGGAGAAGGAATTAATGAAGGAATCTAGAAGCTGATGCTGCTAATTAAAAAATGGAATATCAGACGACAGAAAATCTGAATATCCTTTGATTAATTCAATATAATAAACATTAAACTATAAATGAAAATTTAAATAAATGAAGGATAATGAGTGGTATAGTAACATTTATACAAACTTTTATGTAAAGGTTAGTAAAATGGACAATACGCTTTATGGTTAACATTCTTGTTTGGTAAGTCAACATTACATTGGTATTCCTAAAGTTACTAAGTTTATTTTTATTCTTTGACTTAAACTGAAAAATCAGAATAATTGATCTTGGGGATTGGATTCATAGTCACCGCTAACACTAGATTGCTATATTTTAGTAATTAGGTTAGTATAATCTGATTCTTAACAATACAGTTTGAATAAGTGGACTAATTTGATTCAGCCTTTTTTTTTTGCTTTCTTAGTATTTTTTGTACTCTTCATCCAAAAGAGAATGTGAAAAGTACATTTTTTCAGGAAAGCATGGATAAATATTGTAATAACTACTAAAATAATAAAATATTTAAAATATATCCACTTTAATATATGATCGATATCAAATTTAACCTGCCTATCTAATATTGGAAGTGCCTGTTCTTACTGTTGATCTTGTAACTGTTGTAGTTGCAGTGGCTGCCTAGGATATTTATTTATTTATACTCTTGCTTTTTCTTTCTTTAAGGCTTCCAATTCAATTTCGACATTCATTAACTTCTCTTAAGCTTCATTATAATCATGATTCACTTCTTAGAACTTTCTCTTCCACACTTCAACTTCACTGTTGTTCTAAGTTACTCTTTCTGTTATGAGAGTACTCTCTTAAGCTTCCTATAATTCGAATTACAAATGACGATTCTCTTCTTCAAGTTCTTTTATCTAGTTAAAATCAACATATATTACTCTTGCATAATCTATTTCCTTTACTATTTTAATTTCCTTCTTTTTTTCCAACTCTTTAATTACTGATTGTAGATAAAGGCATTCTTCTCTCCATGGCTACTCAATTTCTTCTCTTGATACTATAACAACAGAAACAACCATCTATTGTTTTGTACAGCATTAAAATTCATTATTATTATCAACTTATGATTAGCTTATTCCGCTTCCAACATTATTAATTTGAAAACTCTGTCCAGGATTTATAACAGAACATGATCTGTAATTTGTATTTAAAACTCTGCTGGCATAAGAATTATATTTTTCTTTTTTATGCCAAAATTGATATGCCTCTGGTCTCTCAATTTTCTTAACTGCATAATCTTCCCTTAACAATGTAGGCTCAGTAGTGTACGATGTATACTACTCATTAAAATCAATTATACTTATTTAATTGTCTCTGGTTGTTAGTTGATTATTTGTCTTTCAATAAAGGATTCTTATTTTGTCGAAATAAATGTGCTCATATCTTCAAAAAGAAAAAAATTAATTCTCAATAAATTTTTATATTAATATGATAGTTTAATGAAATCTCCTTAATTCTCTTAATATTCATTTTATTTTCCTAGCTTAACATTGTGTTACGGTTTGACTATTTTTTAGCTTTATTTCTGTTTTTCATAATGTCTAGAAAAATATTTGTATCATAACATCTGAAACCGTTCTAATTACGCGATTTTCGATCACCAGAAAATGCACTTATATCTTTTAACAGAAAGTTGTTATATAAGCATAATCTGAGTTGTAGCTTTATGATACATTCCTAGAGGAAATTAGTAGAATATTTATTAACCTTTCAATTTCTTTCTTTCAATAATTCTCTTAACTCTGGGTAAAATCATTTAATTATAAATAAAATACTTAGAATTGTATGAATATTCTTAATATTAAAAAAATTTTATAATTGTGTAATCCAAGACAGTAAAAATATAAATATTTATAAATGTATAAGTTTTTATCATTAAATATTAATAAAGAAAAAGGCAATTTTAAATTGTATCAATGTTATTTATATATAATCTATATTTTTTGATTTTTTAGGTGTATGCAAATTTTAATATTAATATTTATTTATTGAATGAGTTTCAGAATCTTTTTTTTTAATCATAATATTTCTATTACTTATTATCAATACACATATATTGTTAAAATTAATTTGGACATGATACAAATGTTTTTAGATTCTTATTTTTAAAACTACATATTTATATATTAATATAAAGAATCAAAAATCATAAATATTGTTATCCAAAAATATTTGATCCAATTTATTATGCTAAATAAAAAAATAGACAAACTATTTTAATGGATTTAATCCTTATATTTTTATTAATGAAGTGATTTAGCTGTATATTACAATTCTTAGAAAAATGAATATTAGGTCCAAAAATGCATAGCTCAATATTATAGTTCCACCAATTAGGATTAACATATTGTAATTGAACTATTTGACGCAATTATTTCTAATCTAATATTAATTTTTACTTGATTTAGTACTAATATTGTAAAAAAAAGTAAGACATAATGTGGATTAAAAAAAACAGAATTATTATAAATGTCTTATACTTTCCTTTAAATCTATAAATTGCTTCAAATAACTTAAAGATTATTCTTAAAAATAGCAAAATTATGTAATTGACAATCATAATAGAAGTGAAAGTTTTTTCGATCATCAAAACAGTTTCAAAAAAAGATAATGGAATTAAAATACTTAAAAAAATAGAAAGTTTAAGGAATCTGTAGCTTTTTGTTATAATTGGATCGTCGTAGTAAAATAGGCAAACTATTTCATGAATAAACTAATTATAAATTTTTATTCTTACTTTGATAGAGTTTTAAAAAATTCTTAAGATACTTTGAAAATCGTAAAATTTAATGATATTCTTTTTCTAAAGATTCTTGTTATAAAATGATTCAATAATTTTTGGAATCTCTAATTTTTCTAGTTCATAGTACATGAATATTGAAAACACTATATAAATACTATGAAATAAGAGATAAGGCTAATTATTTAAATTACAATTGGAATCTTGGTCTTGCTATAAGGTTGTAATTTCAAGGATCTCTATTGTTCTTTAAGATGAATTTAATTATCTAGTAAAAAATATAATTCCCATGTAATAACATTAACAAGAAATTTAAATTGATTGATTATTATTTTATTCTTATATTAATAAGGTACACAACGACAATGATCCATTATCGGTATACTAAACACATTAGAAATTGTACGCTGGTAAACTCGTTTCATTGCAGTAAAAGTATTCAGTCATATCAACAATATAACCAGTATTCAAGCGTTCATAATTTACATATTACTTTTTGTACAGATAGTTTTATAATTTTGTTTTTACTTAAGTTTCTTGGTCTATTTCTAATTAAGTTTAATTCAAAAATGCTTTTATCTCATATATCTGCGTTTTAGAGATATTTAAATTATTGAAGTGAATTTTCAACTATTCTTTTTTGACGTAGACTATCATACTATCCATCAAATCCTTTTCTAGGCCTAGTTATTAATTAAAAACATCTTTGGTTACTTTAGATGTTTGATATTGTAATTATTAACCATTTAAAGTAAATGGGTAACCATTTACTTGTACTTTATCATTTGCAGGCAAAGCAATATCATCAATTAACTTAATTAATTTTTCTGTTAATCCAAATATTTCTGCTTTATCAGCCTCAGATTCGAAAGATGTCTGAGATATTTTCTTAAACTGATCATCGATAAAAAGTATCATGGCTTCTAAACAGTTAGAAATGGATTCTTTAGATTAAAATAAAAGTTCGTTCATAAAGATTTCATTTTATTAGATTTGATTTTCTAAACTTGTTTTTGTTTAGAGAATTTTATGAAAAAATTGTTTTAATTTTGCAAATTCTTTTGTATAAGCTATTGTGTCATCAGAGGAATTTTTTTAAGCAGTGGAATGGTTAATTAAAATTAGTTTTTTTTAAATATCATAGCAACCTTTTTAATCAGGTTGACTTAATGTTCTTCTTGTGGAATTAAAATTAGTTTAATCAATTATAATTCTCTTATATAATTTTTAAGTTTGAAGAACCAATAATTATTCAAATAAGTCTTCTGAAACAAAATTACTCAAAGTATACTTTAACAATTAATCAGCCAATCTAACACAATCAGATTATCCATAATGATTCTTCGCCACTTCTAAAAGTAGGATAATTTTTTCTTTAAAAGATAAATTACTAAGGACAAATTCGGAACAATTAAATTTAAATTCAGTGATATTTTAATAGGATTCAATATTTGTAATTGATCCTCTTGAATCCATAATCTAGATTAAAACAACTCCTTCGCTTTTAGGCAAATACATTTCAAAAGCATTAGTTTATTAAAAGTTATTAAGAATCAAAGAATAATCTGATCGTTACGTTTAAAAATCCTTATAGTCTTAAATATTCATGAAAAATCTAAATTAATAAGTATATGGAGAATCTTCTTATAAATCACAATTTGCCACAATTTTTGATGTTTATAATGCTTAAAGGGTTTGCTAACCTAGTTTAATTTAACAAATAGGAGGTTAATTCAAAGTTAATGATAAATCATATTAGCTAGGCATTATATCGTTTGTAAATTATGCTAGAAATTTTAAAGTAAATTAGTTTCCTTGATTGAAATATTAATAATGATCAAACAACCGAAAATGATATTAAAAATATTAAGGTTCAAGTATCTTTATTACTTCAAAGTTATAAATAATAACAATTTAATATTCTAACACATAAAATCTGTCTTCAAAAGAAATATTAAAATCAAATTATAATGTTTCGTAGCTATTAATTGGTCTAATTGCATACCCTTTACTATATGAAACATCAAGAATTTTAAAATCATTATCTAAAAACACTATATTATACTTAAAATAATATTAACGCCCTTATTTAAATGCTATAACATTCCAACACCATATACTATAAGGCTTGACAGATTGCTTTTGGATTACTTGAATAGAGTCAGTTTTATTTACTTAAAATATCATATTATTAGAATTTGTGCAAAAACTATTCTTTGTTAAATCTGTGCAGCTAACTTCTATTTTTATCTCCGGATCTTCATTCCATTTATATTAAGTATCAAGATCTTTGCATTAAATATTTATAATAGACTCCTTTCTATAATTTTAAATTTTTTTTGTGCCAATAAACTAGCATAGTAGACCACCTTAAATTATTTCAATCGTTTAATTTTAAGTTGATGAAAAACTAGTTGAAGTTTCTTGAGTATCCATTTTAAATGTATATGCAGTATTTGGTGATAATGTGTATTTCTCTATATTCACTTCAAAAAAATTATCACTTACTATTTGAGAAACTTTTACTCTTGATGATCTAGAATTAGAACGATTTCTATGAATTTCAACTAATGATACTTAATATTATGATCTATCCTTCTAAATTTAAGTTTAATCTGAACAAAATTTTTTCAAAATTTTAAAATATAGCGAAATTATTTCAAAAGTATAATACTATTTCTTTCCTTACCAAAGAATGGTCGGCAATTGGCCAGAATGGGTTTAAATTTATATTTGTTAGAATCCTTTTTACTTGATAAAATTTTGAAATTCAACAAGAAAAGTTACTGAAGATTATTTTGGTAGAGTTTAAATTGGAATGTAGAGATCTAATTGTTAAAGATTAGTTTGTTGTAAAACAAAGTCTTCTAAATTAGCATTTCCACTTTACCCTATTAATAAATAAGACCATTTTATGCTTATAATACTTCGAAGGCCATGTTGACTTTTTGATTTTATCAAAATAATGTTATCATCGCATGGATTTAAACTATATTGAGGTATATCATACTCAATTAAAGGTGGTAATAAATTAATAGGAAGATTTAAGTAATTAAAAATAAATTTACTTATTTTTGCTAAGCAATTTATATGTCCAATAGAATAATTAATAAATATTATTTTATCTCCTGGGAGAATAGTAGCATTAGAACCTAATTTAATAATAATTTATTTCTCATTTTCTTAATCTAAGAAACAATCTGGATTATTTCCTAGCTATTTAATAGTTTCATCAGCTAAGAATTTATAGCAAATTTTCTCTTAAAACTATGATTAAAAATAATTTCTATTTAAAGAAAAATCAAATAAAACTTTTATTGAAAGTAAATCATCTGAAAATCTAACATCTATGACGGCAACTTCGCATGCTATAAGTACTAGATATAATAATATACTTGAGCACCATGTGGTATCAATGTGGCTTATTGAGTCCAAAGGGCAATCACAAATTTTTTCTTCTGATAATACCCTATTTCCATTGCATGTTAAACAACCCTCTAAATTACAAGTTTGACAATATTATTCACATTGAAGACAGTCCATGCTTTAATAATCATCATAAAACCCATCCTAGCATTTACAAACTGGAATATTAATACGATCTCCTCTACATAACAAACAATGAGATTAGTTTCCTATGCACGTCAAACACTAAAAATCGCATTCTAAAAATTTTATGAAACTTTCTTACAAATACAATTTGGTTATCCAGCTTCGAAATATGCCTCTTAACAATCACATGTTTTGTTTAATCTATTACCTTTGCAGGAAGTGCAATTTGATGGTATTTGCTCACAAGTACTACATTTATTATCACATGCTAAACATTTTATTAAATAATTACTTTCACATGCCTATTATTCATTTTAAAAAAAGCCAGGTTTGCAATTACATGCAGGTACTCCCTCTCTCAAATTACTAAAGCATATTAGACAGTTATAAGATGACTAGACGCAAGTTTTACATTGATAACTACATTTCTAACATTAGAATTAAATTCCATCATCATAATAACCATCTTTACAATTACAATTTAATGAAATAGTTAAACGATTAGAAGTATTAGAAACATAGCAGCTTATGCATTTATCGGCTTATGAAATACAACCGGAACACTTAAGATGACACTCTAAAATTAGACTAGTGATATATATATACTTTGACACACTTCATTTTCATCTTGGAAAAAATTGGTTTAACAAGGACATTTATGAATGGCAGATTAATCAATTCTATTCATATTAAGATCACAACTTGTACAATAATCGCTCTTTCCATAGCAGGTTAAACAAGATTTTGAACACACTAAGAACAATAATAGAGGGTATTACTTTCACAAATCAGTGATCCATTATCAAAGTATCCAGATTTACAGATACAAATATTACTATTTAATATTCTAACTTATTCAGTCTCATAACATGACAAACATTAGGTTGATATTGACTAGCAAGTTTTACATAAATCATTGCATTTTTGACACATTTCAATTCCAACATCAAAGTAACCATCTAAACAGGGACATTTGTTAGAATTATTAAAAGATCTCAAATGTATAGATTCACATGTCAAGCATTTTGTTGATTAACTTACACATGTCTTGCACGTCATATCACATGCTGAAGTTTACAAAATAATATATTACGTTAGCACATTTTTTCAATGGTTTCATAAAACCCATCTTTGCATAGGCATTTAAAAGTATCTCGATCATTATATCTCGTCATTGGCTCACATTCAATACATTATGATACACTTTAACATTCTTTACATGTTATATTACATGCTAATATTAATAAAGAAAAATGATATACCTTCACATTGCTTAGTTGAAGTATTAAAATAATAACCAGAATCACAAATACATTTATTTTAATTACTTAATTATAAATGAAATGCAGGATCGCAAGATAAACAATATTTAGAACTGCCTTAGCAAGTAAAGCAAGATAAATCACATTAAATGCATTAATTAGTTGAACTTTCAAAATATCCATCTTTACAAAGACATTAATTTCCAACTTTCAATATTCTAAAATTCTCATCTGAACAAGTTAAACAATAATTAGCTTGATTGATGCAGGTCTTACAAGTCTGATTACATAACTAACATTATTTATCAATCCCTGTTTCATATGTGCCTTGTATGCATATGCACAAATTGTTTTATAATTGTTTCATTAAGCCACAAGACGTGCAATTAGTCCCAGTGTTTAAACATGTTTAACAAGAAATATCACAGTATTAACAAACTCCATTAATTTCAGTTGTGCCATTTTAGCATTGGCATTTGCAAGTTATTTTGTTTAAAATTCGTAATTATGATTAATCACATTCAGTACAAGTAGTAGAATTAGTAATGCAATTTAAACAACTTTTATCACACTAATAGCATTTTTCTTGTCCAGATTCATAATAACTTTAATCACAATCACATTAATTTCCATTCAAATGTCTTGTAGTTGGACAGGATGTACAAAATGTAGAATAATTTTAACAAGTCACACATTAAACAGAACATTTCTTACAATTGCCTGATGATCCATCATCATAATACCCTATCAAACATTAGCAAGTCCCTCCATTATAAACTCTAAAAGAAATATTCTTATCTATGCATGTCTTACATTAATTTGAATTTTAACCTTGGCAATTCAAACATGAGTAATGGCATTATTAACAAACCTCTATGCCATTATCAAAATAAGAATCATTGCAAGAACAAGAGTTTACAATGCTATTGAAATATCTTTGAGCTGTTGTTGAACATGTCATACATTTTGCAGCTATTTGAGAACAAGTCAAACAAGAATAATGGCATTCTATTGATCAATTTTATATCTACTTTAACAAATAATATTCATTCCATCATCGTAATAGCTTGATGGACATAAACATTAGGATTGTATTAATACTCGTAAACTTTAAGGAGGACAAGAAAGGCATTAAGTATCTAATACTGCACAGGTTTGACATCTAAAATTACATTCTAATATGAACGGGAATTAGTACGTGCACATTTAGCTATTCCTACATCAAAGTAATTGGGTTAGCAAGTACAAGTTGTACCTTACTAAATTCTCTTATCTTGGTCCCAGCATGAATCACATTCTGAAGAGGAACGTCCCTTGCAAACCAAACAAGAATAATGACAAACTATTTTTAATCTAGATGATTACCAGAACAAAATTATTGACTTAAATAAGTAGATATTTTCAAGCCTTAAAGTTTAGTTTTGCACAGGCAAGTGTTTCCATTTAAATATTTTTCTGGTTGACATGAGGTACAATTAGTTGAAGAAGTCTTACACTCATAACAAAGATTACTACAAGCTGAAAAACATTATAGTTTAATACCTTAACATTCTGGGAGTCCACTATCAAAATATTTCTGAGAGCACTAACACTCTCCTTAATTATTTAAAAATCTTCCGGTTGAGGAAATACAAGATGTACATTAATTTGATTAACCTCCACTACATGTCAAGCATGTATTATGACAAGCTAAAATAAATTTAGTCACTACCTATGCATATGGGATTTTCAGGTTAATCCAAGTATTTAGGAGGACACAAACAAGAATTATTAACTCCAAGATCTCGAAACGAGAAATCTGGACAACTATCGCAATTATCTATTGACCCACTACATGAAGCACATCTATATGAGCATTCTATAAATCATTTATTTTGATACTTAAGCAAATTTAATCTCCAATTTATTTTTCTAAGTGTCCATCTTTGCAAACACATTAATTTGCTTTAACTATTCTATTGCTTTGATTTGAACAAGTTATACAATTATCTATTTGAGAACCAAAACAGGTATTGCATGCATAATAGCATTCTTAAGTTATCAATAGTATTACTTTAACATTGTAATTCACCTACATCGTAGTACCCAAAAGGACATTCACATTTAGATATTATTAATTATCTGTAGTTTAAGTCACAAGTTAAACAATTAGTTTTTTCTATCCCATTACATGTTTTACAAGTAAAGTGACATTCCAAGCATTCTAATTAGGCTTGATCACTATAATAGTGAGAGTCCTTGCAAAAACATTTAAATGTTGCACCAACTCTATCAGGTGCTCTTGTTGAAGGACAGGCAGTACAAGAATCTTCTCCAGCAGTAAGACAATTTGTACATGAGTGAAAACAAGCCACTAAATATGATACTCATTTTTACAATAACAATATACTTCGTTTCTCCCAGTGTCATAATAGGCTGAACCGCATAAGCATTTATTATCTGAATTCAAATAGCGATTATTTTCGCTTGAACATTCTGTGCAATTATTAGATAATGGTCCATTGCATCGAAGACAAGAATAATGGCATTCTTAGAATTAATATTGAGATATACTAAAGCAAATGTCTTGAATTCCATCCTCTCCATATCCGTTTTTACAAATACATTTCAAATCATCTGAAACAACTCTAATTTGTTCTGTTATACACATTGTACAATATTGATTTGATGTACTGTCAGCTGGATTTTGGCATTTTTCACATCTTGGATGACAAGCTAAATTTTTTCTAAAAGTATTCTTACGTTGACACAAAGTTGACCCATCACTTTGGTTAATTTCAATTGTTCTTAAGGCACAAATACATTTACCATTGAAAAACTATTTGTGATAAACATTTGGATCTCCACAATCAGTACAATCAGTATCAAATGGTCCTGAACAATTATAACATGAAGGATAACATTCTAAAATAGAATATATTGTTCATTACATTTACAAATCTTATCCTCTAATCCTGTATCATAATATCCTTAAAGGCATGGACAAGTATTTCCAATTAGTATTCTATTCCGAAGGGGATCACATGATGTACAATCTCCAAATTTTAAAGTACATGTTTAGCAATCTCCAATAGTACATAAAAGACATTTTCCATTTAATTCTGCGTATCCTCCAATTTAATCACAAACACATTAACCCGGAATAATTCTTGCACTCAGTTTGTATTAATAAAAACAGGTAGTACAATAATTTGGATCTGTTACTAAACAAGTTTGGCATGGAGAATTGCATCCAGCAGTATTCTGAACACACTTTTTATCTGCAGTTAATTAGTGTGTTGCAAAACAGCTCTTACATTCGTTCGCATTGTGACAAATAAAACATTTCTCCAATCCTGGTTCATTTTAACAAGCTAAAATTAAATTATATTTTAACAAGAGCATCTAGTTCCTTTTTTAAAATATCCAACATCGCATTGTTGGCAATTAATATCAACAGGTATTCCATCAGAATCATAAATATAATCGTATTTCATGCAATTTCTATCTTCAAAACAGAACGAACTTTTTAAAGTGTAAGGCCAAATACATTATGAACACTCTCCTGAAGAACAGACTTTACAATTCATTGGACATTCTAATTTTAATTATTTAATTCATACAAACACATTCTCCATTTAAAAATTCGTAACCATCAATACATCCACTAAATGAATAGACAGAATCAATTAATTAACAAGATTTATGGGTTGGCTAACATGCTTTATATTAATTTGAAAAGTACCTAAAGTACATTTTAGATCATTGCTATCTAATGGAGATTAGCCAGCAATACAACTGGCGCATTATGTATTAGTTGCATCACATGTCTTGCAAAATTAACCACACCCTTTAGATTAAATCTACAATTTTACTTGGAGTTTATGGAGATGTAGCACAGTTCTAACCATAATTGACACCACTGCAATATATGCATTTATAAATTCCAGCATACTTTTATCCAATTAAACAACCATTATTATATAAATATGATATTGCTTCAGTTGTAAAAATTAAATTTCCATTTGAATCATATGAGTATATCATTACATAAGGCCACCATCCTAGAAGCAGATGAGTATCGTAATTTCCATATAGGATATAACCTTTTATTTATGGATGACATAAGACTTCTTTATCATTTACGATAATCTGTCTTAGTTAAGTTGTCCCACTACAATCCCTTGGAGTGCCTTGAATTGCATAATTAAAATACCTGCACACATATGTGGATAAATGTCTGGCCAATATTAATGAGAACTTGGACAAGACTTTTGAAATATCTCCTTATTGAATTCATTTTTAAAAGATCTAAAGCATACACATACTTAGAATAGTTCAATTATTATTAATCTGACAATGAAACCCATTAGCAGTATCTTAAATAGTTATTTTAATAATGATTTTTTAGAATATAGGTTAGAATTTATATCATATATTTGAGTTGGATTAAAGATAATCAGAGAATCGTCTTAACCTATTTAACACAGTCTTATACTGTTTCATTATAAATAGCTTATTCAAAATTCTGACTAATCATTTTTATGCTGCTTTCTTTCTTACTAAAACAACTCGGAAGAAATAATAAAATAATTGATAAATTTTTAGACTCCTTTAAATTTTTGAGAGTTATATTTATTTATTTTTACATTCACACATATATCAGGGTATTAAACAAGAATGGCTGTCCTAAAAATACAACCTTATTTGAATTCTAAAATTTACTTTTAATCCTATCCATATATAAATAATTGCTAAAATTTTAATTTTATATTAATTAAGTTATATCATTAATTAAAATAATTAAATTATCTTTTTTTTTGCTAAAGATTTCATAATGACAATATATTTAGTTTACAAAGATATTTGTCCTTTGAAGTGGATTCTAAAATTAAAATATAGCAATTATAAAATGATCTATTAAGCTGAATTAAAATGGTCTTATTTTTAATCCTAATCGTTTTAAATCAAAAAGATAGTATTTTTTTATCATATTATAAATAAGACACTTTTATAAAATTTAAAATAATAAAAATTTCACTTTTAGAAAAAGCACTAAAATTTAGTCAATAATTGATATTAAAATTATTTCAGCTACCTACTGAGATTAAAGCAGATCTTAAAATTACATTATAGTCTTCAAACTGGCATGTATCAAGAAAAAAAGATTAATGTTTTTGAGTTTATAATATTAATATAAACAATAAATATCCAAAAATTTACAAGCAAACAATACGATAAATTTAGTCTTCAATTTAATTACTGATAATTGCTAATTAATTGTTAGCCCGATGTAACTTTCTAAATTTACAAAAAACCATTTTAGTTTTTTGGATTTAACTGCAAGTGAATATTTTCAATTTTGAAATGGTAGCGTAAAGCAACCAGACATCACAATTTTACTTGATTAAAAATATTACTCAATTATTTACCTATTTTTTAAAATCAAAATTAACTTTCGATTATATCTCAATTGATAAATATCTTAGAGATAATTATTTAATTTATAATTGCATAAAATTCCATCTAAACAAAGAATTTCAATTACTGGGATAAAGAGAAATAAGAAATAAAGGTTTCTAATCCTGAATTATCCACAATAATTTTAAGGAGAAAGTTATAACAACGATATTTGAATTATTATTTAATATTCTAAAATAAATAAAGTACAAAATAATTGAGTAGAATCATGGACAAATGATTATAGACTTGAATTTCAAATATGTAGGAGAGGATTAAATAGGTTGAGTTAGGCAGTCTTTTTTGTTGCATATCTAAGTAAATTTATATATTATACTAATTCCTTTGAAAACAAATAAGCATTAGTAGAGATTTTGAATATTTATATTTTTTATGAAATATTCTTACGATAATAGTATATAAAAAGTGCTATGATTAGTATAAACTTGTTGAATATATACAAAATTTTAGTTCTATATAAATTTAAAATTTCTCATATTTTGAATAGTTATGGTGTTTAATTTATTTATTCATTAATAGTATTAGCAAGAATAAAATTAGGAAATAGTAAAAAATGGCTTCAAATAATGAAAAGAATTTGATAAATGATTCAACTGGAAATCATCATCAGAGTGTGTTAGATGTTCTGAAGCAAATGAGAAGAAATAAAATGAAAATACTAAAAAAAAGATTATTTATTATTTTAATCGTAGAAATACTTGGAATGAGTGGTAAATAATATTTCAATAAGATTTATCTAGTATAAATATTAGCATTATCATTCAAAAATTGGTATTAATTTTAAATGGAAGAGGAAGAAAAAATATGGATTCAACTAATTTATATTGAATAATATTAAGGGTACTCAGATTTTTGTGAAAACATGAATGTCACTAATAACTTGTTATGTAGCGATATGAGAGATGTGGGATTTATTTGTTTTTGTTTTATCGTATTTGCGATTTTAGTTTAAGTAAGGAAATATAATATACAGATTTTAGAAGTTGTTCGTCTAATCGTCTACTTAAAAAAAGGCAATCCTTGTGTTTTGTGTAAATTGAAAGGCAAATTACTTCAAATAGTATTTATTTTACTATTGACATGTGGATATGTTGGATATTTTTTAACAATTCTGTCTTTATTCTAATATAATTAAAGTAATCCATTTGATATACCAATATATAGAAATCAAATACTTCGGATTTGCATTTTGGATGGGTGCTGGATCAATAATGGGATTGATCTTGGTATCATTCTATTATAGAAAAACGAAAGGATCGCTAAATAGAAATAATTAGGTTTAAAAATATTTACTATTTGATAATGGTAAGGTTGAATTTTCAAATATTGCTGAATGAATTAGACTATGAATTATTTGTAATGAGTATATAACTCTTTGCTTTAAGTAGTTTTTTGTTTTAATTTTATTAAGTTTATATGCAAAAAAAAAATAATTAATTAATACTGTCACCCAGTGGATTGGGAAGCAATATCAAGCCTGGATTATTTTCAAAGCATTGTGAATTAAACAAATTGAATAAACAAAAAAGTTTTAAGATCGAGGAGACACTTACTCCAAAACTCTTCGAAACAAAAGAATCAAGCTTTGCTCCTCAACCGAAATTATAAAAAAGTCAAAGGTATTCATAAATTGAGATTAATTTTAGTGCATCTCGTTTACTTTTGCCTAAAGAATAGAAATAGGAAAGAGCAGATAGATAAGAAATATAAAAAATACCATCTATTAAGTAGGATTAAATTACTGAACTTTCATAAAAATTGTATAGAGAACTTATAGAATTTAATGAATAGGCAGATTTTGGAGGGTAGAATGAAATTTAGTAATGGAGTGAAGAGATGATCAAAAAATTGTAAATCATTAAAAATAGTTTGGAATGTATAATATTTGTAATAGACTAGAATCTGACGTTTTTGACAATCAAGATAATGTGACTGAAGTTTAACAGTAATTATTATGATATTTTAAGAAATGATATTATTTAGAATTTATAAAAGGAATTAAATGATGAGAGGAAGGAAAGATATAAAATAGAAGAGGAGGCAACCAATTTAATAACTGAATAGGAATTAGAAATTGATAGGTTAGAGAAGCAATTAAAAATGCTTGAAGAAACGCATGCTTCCTGATAATTTCAATTAATTAAGTTAAAATCTATATAATATTTATAACACACATTATAAAAATACAGACACTTCAAAGCAGCATGGCAGATTCATTTACATTTAAAACTGTTTCCGTCTTTTTGAGTAAATTTGTAAATGTTTCAATTTGATTATATTCTTAACTCAAGTCTTTTAGGGCTGCATCTTCTTTAGATAAGATTTTTTTGTCTGATAATTCATCAAAGTGTTCCTATTGTAAATAAGTTGGCCTGATTGACATAAATCTATTAATTTATTGATAATATTACTTATAAAATGATGTGATCACTGCAAATGATGAGGTCAGTAAAGTTATTATAATATTCCATTTAAGATCACCATTTTTAATTGCTTATTTTATTAGAAATATAATCAGAATTATTATTTGGGGTAAATCTTCGAAAAGAAACTAAATTAAATATCCTTTTATTGAAGAATTAATAGCTTTTCCTGCTTAATTAGGCATGAAGAATCTCATAATAAAATTATTGGGTATAATATCAACATTAAATGGAGCATACGCTAATCTAGAATTAATAGCAACTGCTTAATTTTTGCCTGCTAGACTTGATGCGCATAAAAGTCTGTTATATATTGAGTTGACAAGCTATTTGATTTCAGATCATTACGATTTAATATTGTTTATAAATCATACTGAATGAATAAAACACAATATAATATTCAAACCTTAATTAAATATTTATAAAGCCAAAACAAGGTAAAATAGTATGTACTCATTCACAATAATAGCCAAGTTAAGATAAAAGCAAATATCATTGAATTAATCGTATTTAAGCAAGTTGGCTGGTGACGATATTTTTGCATAAAACTACGATCTCAACTATAGCTTAACTGGAATTAGCAAATTTATCTAATTATGTTTGCGCACTCTTCAAAACAGACCCTTATTTCTTATAATCACTTTTTGGTTTCTCATCATTTTCTTTTTGTTACTAGATTTAGCTATCTTCATTAGGATAGATCTAAATTGCGAATTTTTCGATAAATGTTGGTACATGTTAAATAATGTTCTTATATATGTATGCCTCCAAAATCATAGAGACTCCAGCAAAAGAATAATATAAATAAAATGCCACTTTATTAGGTTGATTAATACAAAAATCTTGTCTTGTAGCTGCAGATGCATCCCCTTAATAGTAGTGACTAAAAAAATAAGGAGCGATTAAACATATTGCTAAAAATAATAAGTTATTTATGACTAAGAAGAAAAAGTAAATCTGCTTAGTAGATAAAAATTTGTTTAAATTCGTGACTTCATTATTGAATTTATACTGCTTTGTTTATTAAACAAAGGCATTACAAATTTTATATAAAACCTTTTTAAAAAGCTTTCTGCAACCAATCGGCTTCATATTATAAGCTAATTCTCTTAAAGCATAGCCAATACCAATATTTAAAAAGTTATCAAAATCGTATTATATGGATGAATATTCAAAATGATTAGTATCGTAAAAAATTGAATAAATTGCTTTGATGGCTTATAAAGTCAAAGTATTTTATACTCTAATTTTGGAGGGTGGAATCAATCTGATTAATTAAACAATCTCAGCTTCTGTATAACCTAATTTAAACATTTCATCGATTAAATCGTCATCTAAATAATAATCCATAATTATCTGATCAATTGAAGATTAATATGATTTGATATTCTCCCAAATGTATAGTATGAATTAATGTGTTACCTTTTCTAATCCCTGAGTTTAAGCATTTATAATTACTATCTTTTAGATTATGCTATTTTATTATTTAAAAGCCAAAAATGTGTCATTTTAAAAAAGTAATGTAAATGGATAAGGACATCCAGGTTCTTTAGTTGTATATTTAAAGTAATTGCAAAATAAATCTAATGTATTCAAATTTAAATAAATGGTAGCTGATTACATTCTATTTTCTATGAAATGATCATTCAGAATTTAGATATAATGATTAGCTAAACTCAAATGATATTAGGAGACTTTAATTATTGCCTATTCAGTCCAGCTTGCTGTTTTAAAGTTTCTCTGATTGTACATAATGTTATATTATAATTAGTTAAAATAGCCAAACTCTTCAGGAGTTCCTGCGAATCGACCTACATCATTCATTCCATAATCTATATCTATTGGTAAATCTGGAGGAGGACCGTAACCTTCAGGTTAATCGGATAGATATGGTTGTATTTTTTATTTTAAGACAGTATTATGAGTCAATAAGGTGTGTATGGAAAGTTTTCTGTTGGATGAGTTCTTTGCTTTTTGAATGGCAGAATCAACGATATTCTAAAGTTTTCGATCATTATCTAAATTAGTGTCTGAAATATTTAATTCTAATAATTCCACTTTTGGGTGAAAGAATAAATTCTAAGACACATCAAGCCAACCTTTATGTGTCAATGAACCATTATAAGAAAAACTTAGTCGTTTAACTTAATAGACATATCCAGATGGTTTGGATGCAAAATATGTTCTGGCATTTTTTGTAATAATTTCGGTAGAGGCATCTGTAAGAGCCATGAAATGTAAAAAGACTGTTTCCATACATGGTGTTAAATTACTAAATAATATTGTTGAGCAAGTTAAATTCCATGCTTCTTCAGTTTATACAAATTCATTCCTTCCAATATCGAAATATTTTAATGGTAAATGATTGATATAAGTTCGTTTAAATTGTTTTTAGAATTTTAACCAATTTATTGCTTATTTACAAAGATCTATTTACATCTCACTACTCCAATTTGTAACTTCCAATTCTATTCGCTCAATGGATATGTATTCAAAGTATAAAATCTCTTTGTTTATTAATTCAGCACCTTCTAATCCTATATACAAACTATAATAAATATTGAATCTCTTTAATTTTAACTAAGTTGAACTTTATTTATTTCTTGATTCAATTTCACTTCTAAATTTAGATGCACCTTCTGTTAATGCTTGAATTCCGGGAGGTTTTAAATGACATTGATGAAAAGTTAATTCCTCAAGTTAACTTTACTCATTATATATAAATTTTTCACCAATTATTCTTAAGGATTCCTCACTGAGTTGCTCCTGATTATTATAATAAAGGTCAAAACTCAATTTTAAATATTTCAATTTTTCATATTCATTTCCAATATTTAATTGCTCATTAAAAGAGTCTAAATGGCAATATGTAAAAGATGTAAAATTAAAGTTTTTGTTAAAACAAAATTTCTCTTACAAAACTTAAACATCTTCTCCTTTTATAGATTTTACAGTTAGATCACATACTTTATTTAATGATGAATTTATTTATTCATTTAATATGGTTTCTGTTTATGCATATGATGTAATACCCTATAATTATAAATTTACCAAAAAATTTCTGGATTTATTTAATAAAGATAAGAAATTGTCATCAATCAACACAGTGTTTGATATTACTAATTTTTTGATATGTAATTATTTGATCTCTTTCAATCCTCTTTCATAGAATGCATCAAAACATCTACATTCTTATTCATCACCAGTAATTGTTAATTCATCTAATTAAGTTGTTGGATTCTATAATATTTCATTCATTAAATTGCTCATTGTTTCTATTTTATCAATATCATATCCTCCTGAATAAATATTTAATTTCTTCAACAATATATCTTTTTCATATTTGTTTTATCCATACCAATCATTTGTGTTGATTTTACCCTCAAAATTAAAATACTCTCCAATTTCAAGACATTCAATTGGGAATAATTCACCAAATATAAAATATTTGAAGAACTTCAAACTATTATCTCTATCTAATGTTTCTGAAATTCCTTTCAAATTTAATTGATTAATATAATATTTCTCTTTTTATTATGATTACTATATTATTTCTTTAATTATCCCATAATTGAAACCTGATAAATCTAATTTCTTCAAATTTATATATTTAGAACAAATAAAATAATTTACAAATAATCTTGTAGTTTCTTCACTATCATTTGTAATCCCTTCCATTGTAATTTCTTCTAATTAATAATTATATGCTTCATTTACGTTTATTTATCTCTATAATTATTATCCATATTTTTAATATTCTTCCACATTTCTCATAAACAATTCAATATTAAAATTTTATAGTTTCAATATAACCAATTTATTTAAAGGATGACAAATAATTCCACATACTAATGCTTTATATATTTATTGAGTTTATTCCTCTGGAGAATAAGTCAAATTCATATCCAACTCTAAGTACCTTAATTATTAAGGAGGTTAAAATTGGAATTTATTATAATGGAATAAAATCTTTTCAGCTAAATTTAGATCTTAATTCTTGATTATTGTCTTTATTTCTGAGAGTTTATTTTCCACCTCTAATGATCCTTCATTATTATTTTCGCCTTCTTGTTATTCTTTAATTTATGATTAAACTAGATTATTCTTATTGACATCTAAAAGAATTGAAAATAAATTATTCCATTATTTTGCAGAGATATCAGGATTTAAGCTTAAATCAATGTCTCTTAATTTAAAATATCTTTTCAAATTGTTATTTTTCTCCTTGTTTTTTAAATTCGTTATTATTTTGCAAAGAGATTACACATGTTTTTTCTGGCATTTACAATTCCTCAACACAAGTGTAGTTAATTATTATTTGGCTTCATTAAATACGATATCTTCAAAGAACCATTCAAAAGCTTCGTCTATTTCTGTATTAATGGCTACAAAGGAATTCAAACTCAATGTTAATGTTTCTTTTAGCTCATTCTCTTTAATTATTTGTTTGGATGACATTAAATATTTATCAAAACCATGACAATCATTTAATGAAAGTTCTTTGATTTTACAGAATGGATTCAATGCAAACATAATTAAAAATTCAGTTTAAATTTCACAACTTTCTAAAGTTAATGAATTTAGTCTTGGTTTGATTATTTAATTTTATAATTCTATCTTTTTAATTAGATTTTCAAACACTTTTTGTATTGCTTTCTACATATTCTCACAAAACTTGATAGATTTTAATCTCAATCTTGTTAATTATGAGTTCATATTAAATAAAAATGTTTATACAAATAATTGCCATTAGTTAACGTCAGGTAATTCAATAGATTCCAAAGATAATTACTTTAATTATGATAATTAATGATCAGGATCCTCAATATTGATATTTTTTGTTATTATAGATTCTAAAAAGTTTGTTATAGGTATCTCTATTAATGTAAGTTTATTCAATCTTATGTAAGAATTCAAAACAACAAATTCAAATATATTTTCATATACTTATTCTCCATACAAATTTCCAATCTCTAAAGTCTTTAAAGATTTAATAGAGTGTTATTCATTTTTCATTACCTCTTATAAAATTTCTTTGTTTTTATCTTTTATGGTTATTGTGATTCCAATCAAGCATAATTCTTCTAAGAAAGAGCATTTGTGAAAAATCAAATAGTGAATTGAAGAATATAGTTCTAATGAGGCTCCATATGCATTTTTTAATGTGAATGATTTTAAACCAAAAAATTGATTGTTCAATGTAAGATCATTCACAAAAGTAGTTAATCCTTCTTCAAACTACTCAGAATCAGTGCCAAATGAAGTATCTTCTAAATAAAACTTTTCTAGTGATAAATTGTTGTTGAACACTAATTGATTGAAATGAATTTATTCAAGATAAAACCTCATTCTTATACCTTTGAATTGTTTTAATGTGTATCTAACATTCTAATCTGAACGTGAGATTATTGTCAGGGCCTCATTAAAGGCCTCATTTCTCTAATTTACATTAAAAGCTTCAGTAAAAGTTACACTTTCCATTTACAAATAATCTTCTGTAGTTGTAAATACTAGTGACAATAAAAACTATAAATTGATTGGAGTTTCCATTGAATACCTTTATTCTGGAATTTAAATCTCGACCAATGGAATTCTGTAATTTTGATAGTAGCAATTAGAAGAGTTAGCTTTTATTTCTTTGACAAAGTCATTGTATGCTTTATAGTAGGCTTCCATTCTTCCTGCATCACAATTCGATATTGTTAATTTTCTTAAGTTAGAATGAATATTAAAACAAGTATTCTTTATGAGTTTATACATCAAGTCATGTCTATTATAATTTTCAACTGTTGACAAATCCAATTCCTCAAGGTTAAGAGTTTACAAAATTTTGGTTTGCTATGTCAATCGACTTAGATTTGCTATCTATTTATCATAAGATTCAATAAAATAAAAGAGTTTTAATAGAGTTGGTAATTCAGCTGGTAATGAATTGTCAAAGTTGATTACTTTTAAGTCATTTAAAATATTGTAACTTATTAATTCAAATACCTTTGGAGTCATTTTATCATTGTATGAAATGTTCAACATAGACAATCTTAATTGATCATAACGATTACCACATAGACTCTCTACAGATACAGAGTTGTGCAGTAAAGGTTAGTTACCTAAATTATTTTAATAGTTTTACTCATCTCCAAATTTAGTAAACCTTTGGAAGTCGAAAATTGCTGACATGCTTTTGAAAATTCTCCTAATTCTCCTAGGTAATTATCATTTATATTCAATCCAACTAGCTATTCCAAATGATCTTCATGATAGAGTAATTATATTAAATTATAAAATGCTTTATAGTTGGTATTAGTGAAACACCCTGCTACTTTCAAATCATAAAATGATGTTTAATCGATTTCCGATTCTGCATTTGCTATTTTTTCTTTATATGAGAGTTAATCCACTTCATTGTAAAATATCTTAATCAATCCCATCGAGAAGTTTTCAAGATTCTTAATTAATTTATAGAAATAATTTCGTCTCTTGGCTTCGAATTCTTTTTTGAGAAATAATTCTAATTAAATTATGAAACTGCCTTTGTAAATTCCAGGATTGCTCTTAATAAAAATCTAGTAATATTAGTAAATAGCTTACTTATTAAAAATTAATTTTGTTTAATAGCAAATCATATAAGAAATCCTTAACATCCAAATCATCAATTTCATTTTATTTCAAAATTAAAGTAAAATCAATTGGATTTATCCAATTAATGAGTCTACCTAGTATATTTAGATGTTCCTTATCTAACTAAGTATTAATAAATTAAAGTAATGACAATTAAGTTAACGAACGTAATTCTTATTCAATATAAATCCAATGTTCTATTTTAAAAGTTCCTTTGTAATCCTTAATGCTAATCTCTCCATTCCATTCTCCCTTTTTAACCAAAGCCTATTTTAGGAATTTAAGTTTACATTAAACTAATTTAATTGATTCGTAACTTATATGCCTGGTCTAAATGTGCACCTCTTCTTCTAGCTCTAAACTTCCTAAGTAGTAAATTTTAGCTTATCTTGTAATTCTTAGTTATTCTGAACAAGCATTTTGAGTGCCTTGACGACTGCATTTTAGCTCATGATTTATATAATAATTTATATTGAGTATTATTTAAAATTATATGTACTTTAATAATTCTTTCTCCATAAGTAAATGTCACTAAAATTTAAGAAATTCCGATAAAATTATGTGAAATACAATTAAATCATTTTTTTGAACTTTATAAATAATTTTATCATTCTTCTTCTTTAGATTAATTTATATCGTTCTAATTTACACCAGGTGGTAATTCTTCATCTCTGTTGATTGTAAATACCTTCTTAGGAATTGGATCTGTCTTAGTATTTAATGGTTTTAATTCTTCTTCATTCTCTTCCTGTTTCAATATTTGAGTGTTTTGATCTTCTTACTCTTTTGATACTAAATCTGCTTATTCTAATTATTAAATTATTGGTTTTTGTTCGAGTTAATCATTATTTGAATTCTTAATCTTTTCAATTTCTTCAATATCTATTTAGAATGATTGAGTGATATCCAATCCTTCAGGTGGTTTAATCAATTTTTATGCCTAATAATGATAAATTGTAATACTTCTAAATTAATTGGAGGTAAATCTTCGGCATATAAATTATATAATTATTGTAATTATTCTTTTGTCTTATTCAATATGAAGGATTCATAAAAGAATGAAATTTTCACAATTGAAATGTTGTGCAATTTATTATAAATATTCTTTATTAGTTGTTCAATTTATGGAATGATATCATTCGATGGATCTGTTTTAATAATTTGGATGTATATCTTAAATAGTAATGAATCTATATCGGACAAGGATGATTCATAACAATTCAATATATTCAATTATTCTAAGAATTTAATTATATTTGTAAGGGCATCTAATTTCAATAATTTAACTGATTCTCCCACTATCATAATTAAAGATTTAAAAATTATTTCTCTATGATTTAAGGAGTATTTTAATTAAGTATGTCTCTAAACAATATTCAAAGTAGGTCCTTGCAAGGTATCTGATTAGATTGCATATGTTTAAAGTATTTGATTGCACAGTTAATCTGAGTAAACTTTTAATCCAGGAACTCTTGTTAACAATTCAAAAAGCAATTCTTTAAATCTAATAGCATTGTCAATAGTGTCTATTTTTTAAGCAATAACTGGAATATACACAAGTAATAATTTCTCAGGGTCATCGACATTAATAAATTTATCTTTCATTATTATGAAAACTATTATAAAATAAATATTTCTTACTTAATGATTCAATAATTTTATGATTGCTTTCCAAATCTGAATATTTTAAAAAGAATTCAATAACTGTTTGAAAATTCTGTTGATTTGTAAAATCTTTGAACAACTATAAAATTTATAGTTTTGAAAAGTAATCACTTTTTTTAAAACTCTCTAGAATCTGTTCTTAAAACTCCATTAGACCAGCTGATGATGAAATATGTGTTAAGCATTCCAATCCCAAACATCTCACTAAGAATAAAGATTTATATATACAATTAGGATCTTGATGATTTAAAAATTATTTTAAAATATCTCCTGCACTTTCATAAAGTTGTGAATGATTTTTAAAATACTTCATTATTGAATAAACTAGTTCGTATTACAAAGATTTAGAATTTGTCTAATTAAGCAATCTTGTGTAGTGTTCTATTAACTTACCTTAAAACCTAGGTTCTAAAGATATCAATTTATTTGAAATTCTAACAAGTTTTATTAACAACCAATTTGATTTTTACTTAGAAATTTAATCGTAAACAATTGATAAAAATAAAGGATAGAGCTTTGGGGCAACCTTCATTACTGAACAAAATAAACTAATCCCACATGCCAAGACTGAAATATTTGATTCTTTTTATAATTGTTATATGACCATCTCTAAGTTGCCAGGAATATTCAATGGATTTATCGTAAATATTTTAGATAACACTGCTATTGCCTTCTTTCTTATTAATGGCTTAGTATTAGTAGTAAGTTTTAAAACATGTGTTAATAAGGAATCTGATAAATCTTTATTTGCTATAGTTCCCAAACAACTTAAAGTAGCAGAGCATTCAACATGACCATTTTTAAATTCCTTTTAAAATACATTTGTAACCATAATGAGACCTTGGCTTTGGCTATCAATTACTAAATGCGCTGCTAATTAAGCACCTAATTTTAATTAGAAATCTGCACAGCCCATCAAATTTATGATTTGAAATTCTGCCCATCTAATGTTATTCCCCTCCATAGCTAGCTTACTTATAGAAATATTTAAATACAAAGAACAATTTTAACAATGCTTAATATCTCACTGATTCCTATCTACTTTATATTTCGTTTTTAATATCGGCTATTGTTTAAGTGGTAAATGTTAGCTTGTCATATTGGGATGTAGTCCTTGATGTTCTTACAACATCTGCCAAAGATTTTAAGAATATTTAATCCATTTATGACAAGTGGAACATTATTTTGATATATAATATAAATATTATTATATTCTCATGCAATTCATTTTCTAAACGCAAATAATATTATTTATAAATAATGATTATTTAAGAATAATCGAACATTTTTAAGAATATTCATATAAAGAGTATAAGAATATAAATAGTAAACTGAATGCATTAGTTATAAGTTAAACGATCATTAAATTGCGTTCTGTTGTTCTTTAATCCAATTATAGATTATTCAGCTCATTCAATAAATATACTTTTAATCCTGATTTTTGCAATCTCTGATCAACTCAATAAAATAGATCATAACAAAGGACAATTCAACTAGTATTTGAACCAAACTTGTGAGTCAAATTGTATTAGCTTTACTGCAAGAACAACAGAAATATAATTTAATCATAAGGATCAAGTATTTAATGAATAACAATCATAAAAGACGAAACGAAGACTTTATGTGAGATTGCGATAATAAAATAAATGAATATTGAAGGCAATATAAGGAAAATGAAATCTATATAGAATTGATATAAAAAATTTGATTACATCGATTGAATTACGTATATAAACAAGAATTTTAAGAATTCTGACATTTATATTATTATTAAAAAGGTTTGTTTCATGCCAAGCATTATTCTTCAGATCAGAGCACTTTTGGTGAAAAATTTCACTTAATCCTTCAGAAACAAAGAATACATATCTGATTTAACTTTGCCCGTAGTAACAGCAATAATCGTCTCTTTAAAAGATCAATTAGAATTTTTAGGATTTTTCGCTCCTCTATTTTTATCAATAGCAGTAAGTACACCTCCTAGGTCACTGCTAATAAACCTTGTTGAAGAGAAGAGTGAGAGATTTAAAGAGTCGTAGAAAATTATGGGAATGAAATAAAGATCTTACTTAATTGGATGGATCCTGTATGGTTATATAAAAACATTGATGGTAAAATGATTAGAAATATTGATTAGAGTACAATATTTTTAATTTTCTTTTGGTGGCTATTGACATTGATAATCAATGATGGAAATTATGGATTCAACATAGAGTCATATAAAATATTCTTAACCTACTTCTTGTACAGTAGTACAGTACTCAATTTTTCATTGGCAATGTCAACTGTGTTTTCAAGTCCAAAATTAGCAAATGAAGTTTCGACCTTTGTAACAATATTGTCAATTTTACTTACGTTTTTGGTGTTTTTGTCAAGTATTTAAAGGTATCAATCTAAATAATAAAAATAGTTCATCCCTATTCTACTATTGTATGTCCATATTTCCATAATCCTCAATAAGCTTTATTTATATGGGGGCATTAAAGAGAGGGTTTTTCAATTCCTAAGCAATAAGTTCGGCCTATCCTTTGTCGAATGCAGCTTTGTAATTAGGAATTGAATCAGTTTTATATTTCATATTATTCTTTTATTTGGATCAAGTATTTCCAAATGAATATGGAGTATCTAAACACCCATTGTTCTTTTTATAAGGATTATTTGGGGGATCAAAGAAAAATAAATTGAATGATTCATTATTAGATGAAGATTATACCCATACTCAGAATGGAGATTATAGCAGTGCAATCTACCATCAGAAATTAAATATCTAGAAAAAATGCACAGTTTCAATTAAAAATTTAACCAAGAAGTTTGGGGATTTCAAAGCTGTAGATAATTTAACTATCAAATTATATGAATAGGAAATTCTATGTTTATTAGGACATAATGGTGCTGGTAAAACTACAACAATTAGTATGCTTACTGGAATGATTTAAAAGACAAAGGGAACAATAGAGATTAATGGAATTGATCTGGAAGAGAATATAGATGCCATAAGAGAAAATGTAGGTATTTGCACTTAGAGAGATGTTCTTTACGTTTCTTTGAAGGTTATAGAGATGCTAATATTCATGGGTAGAGTCAAAGGTTTAGAGGGATTGGACTTACAATAAGAAATTAATGAGATCATTGAGGTTACTGAATTAGAAGAAGACAGAGATAAATTAATTAAAGAATTAAGTGGAGGAAGTAAGAGAAAATTATCATTGGCTATTGCATTGATTGGTGGATCCTCTGTCATTTTCTTAGATGAACCAACAAGTGGTATGGATGCATAATCAAGAAGAATCATTTGGGAGATCTTATAGAAAGTGAGATAATAAAATAGAACATTGATATTAACAACACATCATTTAGATGAAGCTGAAGTATTAGCTGATAGAATCACTATCATGGCAGCAGGAAAATTACTGGCTTGTGGTAAATGTGATTATATTAAAACTAATTTTGGAGAGGGTTATCATTTATCAATCACTAGTTAGAATTAAAAGATATTATAGGCTTGTTCAGATTAGGTACTGTCTATTATCTAAGAAGCTTAAAATGATCCTTAATCTTAATCTGATACTAGAATATTTTTAATACCTTTCAAAAGTAAACCAAAATTGGATTAATTAATTGGAGCCATTACTAAATAATTTTAGAATGAAATCGTTATTAATTTGAAATTGAATTCTTTGGAAGATGCTTTCATTAATATTGGAATGGATGAAGAGAAATTTATCAAAAAGGCCAAAGGAAGTAAAGCAAGTGTGAATGATAGTGAAATAGCTATGGAATAAGAGGTTGAATAACAAAGAGACATTAAAATTCCAAAGTGTTTAAATGATCCACCTGTGTATTCATTTAAATAACAATTCACTGCTATCTTCTTAAGAAAGTTTTACACAACTTCAAGAACATTTAGTAATTATATTTCAATTGTTATACCTTTCACTTTGATAGTTATTGGAACTTTGATTATTGATGAAATCAACTTAGATTTTCTGAAAGATGACAAAAATTTAGAGTAATATTTTAAATTGGTGCTTATTTCATTATTTGTAATTCTTGCATTTTGCTTTAATTCCTCTTTATTTATTACTTTACCAGTATTAGAAAGAGAGTTCAATCTAAAATACGCTTTAACAGTAATGGGTTGTAGAGTACTTCCTTATTGGATAGGAACTTATGCATTTGACTTTTTACTATACTCTTTCTTTGTGATCACATTTGTGATATTCAGTTACATTATGCAATTATCATTTGTTACTGATCATATGGGATATGTAGTATTCGCATTTGTCACCTTTGGTTTTGCTTATATTTCATTTTCATACTTTGCTGGCATTTTAATATATAAGAAAACATCCACAGCTATGAAGACCTTCCCATTCTTAAACTTTTTCATAGTTTATTGTATGCCTTAAAACTTTTGGGGTATATGCGCTTTGTTGTGGTAAAAGGAAATTGGAAGTCCTGCCTTAATAGAGTTTTTAATAAAGTCCATTGAATGTATATTTTCCTTTTTAAGTCCATTCTTTGCCTTCTAAAGAGCCTTTTAGAATATCATAAAGATAGATGTCACTCCTAACAACAATCAACCACCGCCTTTAACTACAGAAACCCTCTATTATTCTATTGCAATGTTTTATTAAGGAATCATTTTCTTCATCCTAACACTTTATTTGGAAGGCAGATAATTCAAGTAGGTAGCTAATAATTTAGAGAATAATGATGTAAAAAGAAGTGTTAGAGTTGATCAATAAGTCATAGACTAAGAATAAAATTTATTAAAATCAAATGATCCTGTTAAAATGTATAGATTGTAAAAGGTATATGAGAATGGATGTGTTGCACTTCAAAACGTAAGTGTTTCAATTTAAAAACAGAAGATCCTCGGACTTCTTGGTCCCAATGGATCTGGAAAATCAACTATTTTTAATATCCTGACCTCCTTAATTAATAAGAGTGGTGGACAAGTAAAAATAAAAAATTAAGAAGTTCATCGAGGAAAACATGAAGTATTTTAAGATGTTGGTATCTGTCCATAATTTGATTGCATCTGGGAGAATTTAACACCAAATGAGCATTTATATCTGTTTGGCAGAATGAAAGGATTATCTGGAGCAGATTTAAGTGAGTCAGTTACCTACTTTTTGTAAACAATGCAATTAGAGGAGTATATTAATAGAGAAAGTGGTCGATTATCAGGTGGAAACAAAAGGAAATTGTGTGTTAGTAATGCCTTAATTGGAGGACCATGCATTCAATTCTTTGATGAACCAAGTACAGGAGTTGATCCAATAGCCAGAAGATTCTTATGGAGAACTTTGAAATTGGGAGTTCAATTGAGACAAAGCAGTGTAATGTTGACTACTCATACTATGGATGAAGCTGAGAATTTGTGTGATAAAATTGCAATTTTAGTAAAGGGATAAGTTTATTGTTTGGGAAGTCCACAAGAGTTGAGAATCAAATATGGGGATGGCTATGATATCTAATTAAGAGAGTATAAGAATAGATAAGAGATTACTCAATTTCTGAATAGACAATTCTAAAATATCACAGAAATCATATAAAAGGATCAAGAAAATTTATAATTCCATGTAATCTATATTGAGCTATTTTTATTAGATTCCAAGTTAGTCTTTCGATTTCAGCAAAGCCTATTTCTCATTGACAGAACTTGTCTAAAAACAGTTGATCCATGATTTCTCAATCAATCAATCATCTTTAGAATCAGTATTTTTGTAATTTTCAAAATCCCAACAAGATTAATATAATTGAACAATGTGGAACAATATATATACATTTTTATAAATTTTAATATGAAAGAATTTCTTAATATATGAATTACTTATAAAACCTGATGCTTTAAATAGTATAAATCTTGGAAATAATAATGTGGACAGCATAAAAATTATTTATTAAATATTGATGGACAATCTCCTTTTACCAAACAAATAAGTCTGCTTAGAATAATTAAATAAATTGGGAATTAATTATATTGCACATCATCATGATCCAGTTCCGACTATGGATGATGTAGTCAAAATTCAGGTGGCAGATGGTACTGCCTATGTTAAGAATCTATTATATGTTGATAAGAAAGTAAAAATAACAACTAATCAATTAATAGTCAAATTATTATTTAATCTTGGCAAATCACACAACTTAAGTTGGCAAATTATTTTGGAAAACCCTTGGATTATCATCAGGAAACATTAGATTAAGTAAAGAGGAATAGATAGCAGATGCTTTAAAGTCAAGTAAAGGAAATGTAAATCCTTTTGCCGTTGCAAATGATACTAATAATCTAGTATTCCTATAATAAATTAATCTTAGGTCAAAAATATTATTATTGATGAGGAACTGACTAAATTCTAGAGATTAGCATTGCATCCAATAGAAAATACAACCACCATCGAAATCTCTTTAGATGATCTACAGAATAAATTCTTGAAAGCAATTAATAGACAATGTAAAGTCATACAATTGACTGACTCAGCAGCAAAATAAGAGTTAGAATAAGAAAAAGATCAATAAAATCTATAAACTTTGGCTATTACAGTGAAAAAGTCTGATTTCTCAGAGTGGTATCAATAGGTCATCAGAAAAGCAGAATTGATAGAATATTATGATGTTAGTGGCTGCTATATTTTAAGACCATGGGCATATTTCATATGGGAATAAATATAAAGACTTTTAGACGATCTTATTAGAACAGAAGATGTTGAAAATACTTACTTCCCAATGTTCCTTTCTGCAAAACACTTAAATACGGAGAAGGATCATGTAGAGGGATTCAAGGCAGAAGTAGCCTGGGTGACTAAGTATGGATAGAGTGATTTAAATGAACCCTTAGCCATTAGACCAACATCTGAAACTATTATGTATCCAGCATTTGCTAAATGGGTTCAAAGTCATAGAGATTTACCATTGAAGGTAAATTAATGGACAAATATTGTGAGATGGGAATTCAAATTCCCAACTCCATTCATCAGAACTAGAGAATTCTTATGGTAGGAAGGACATACAGCTCACTCTACTAGAGAGGAAGCTGTCAAATAAGTGTATACAATACTGGACTTCTATGAATAAGTTTATGGTGAATTATTAGCAGTTCCAGTGATTAAAGGAGTATTAGATATCCTAATATAAATAGATTAAAACAGAATCGGAGAAGTTTGCAGGAGGTGATTTCACTACTACTGTTGAAACTATAATCCCATAGAATGGAAGAGGATTATAAGGAGCTACATCTCATCATTTAGGATAAAATTTCAGCAAGATGTTTGAGATTAATTTTGAAGATGATAAGAGATAGAAAGCATTTGCTTGGTAAACAAGTTGGGGATTCACAACGAGATCTATTGGTGCCATGATAATGTTCCATGGTGATGATAATGGATTGGTATTACCCCCAAGGATTGCAAAATATTAAATTATTATCATACCCATCATTCATAAAGATCTTGATGAGAAACAATTGAATGAGAGATGCGAATAAATTAGATAGATGTATTTATAATTGAATAAATCTTAGATTAATCAAATAAAAGTTAAGAGTACATTTTGATAATAGAGATAACTATTCTCCAGGCTGGAAATTTAATAAATGGGAATAGAAGGGAGTTCCAATTCGATTAGAGATTGGACCAGGAGAATTCAAAAATAATGAAGTTAGAGTTGTGTAAAGATTTGACAATAAGAAATATTAAATTAAAATAGAAGAACTCAATTAATTAAATTAGATACTTGATAATATTCACTATGCTATGCTAGAAAAAGCACGAAATGAACTAAATTAAAGAATCAAATAGGCTGATGATTGGAAAGAATTTATGACTCAATTAAATCAAAGAAATACAATATTAACTAAATGGTATTCTATTAATTCATGCATTTAGGTGTTAAAGAGAAGAATGCGAATAGTAGGTGAAAAAATAGTCAGGAATTGAATCAAAAGAGAAGGATTCAGAAATTGGTGGATAAATTCAACTTACTGGAAGTGCCAAAACATTATGTATGCCATTGAAGCAAGATGAAATTAAGGAGGGAGAGAAATGTTTCCATTGTGGCCAATAAGCCAAGAGATATGTTTTATGGGGCAGATCATATTGATGAAGTTTATAAATTAACATAAAATTACAATTAATATTCAAAGGGTTGTAATCATATATGTATACTTGAATTGAAAAGAAAATAAGTTTACCTAATAAGTTTCAATAATTTAACTAAACCATTAATATAATATCTAATGATGGCCATTATTTGAACTTTCAAAATTCCAAGATGACTTAATAATCAAAGCAAAAAATGATAATATGAAATTTGAATCTAAAAATAGTGAAATAATAATTTTGAGATTAATAAGAAAATAAATAGGTGCTTATAAATTAAGATCAAAATAGAAACTAAGCTGATAGGGTACATTTATTTTGTGTTATTTTTTATACCTTTGTAAAGCAGACCTTGGAGTCCTATCTCAAATTAAAAGATAATGTATGGTAATTAAATTTAAATATAATTAATTAAATTTGTAAAGTTTTTTATAAAAACAAAGAGGATAAGTTTGATAACTTAACTTTAAAGGGAATCAATGGGCAATCTTGATACATATGATGAGTTCTCGAAATGGAAGATCGGATCTACCCTCAAAATTCAACAAGTTTAAATCAGAAATACAGATTTACTCAATTTATCGGTTTGATTAATAAAATTCAAGTAAATATATTTTACAGACCAAATGAACTATCTGATTAACAAATCAGTATGAATTAATATCATAAATGAGATGCTAACTTTTAATTTATATTAAATACTTTTCAGGATAGTTATATTATTATTAATAATTATTAATTTTGAGAATTGAATGGAATAAGATTCAAAATAGAGTTAGCTCATTTCTCCTATATAGAAAGCATAATAAATCTTAGATTAAAGTGAAACACAAAAAGCAAATGAATCTCAATAAAAAATGATTTCGAAGAGCAGAATCTAGAAATTTAGAACAGAAGACTTTTCTTTAAGGAAAAAACTTCAAAATTAAAGCTTTTATGGGAAAATGAAAGTAATATGTAAAGGGATGCAATAATACATTTACATATTGTTAGAAGACCCTAACTCTTCCTTAGTAGCTTATTGCTTGCAATTCCTTTTACTAACAAGTATATTGTTATCTTGCATTGCAATAATTGTAGATTCTCTAATGGACAACAGTATGATTATTGATTTAAAATAGATAGTAATTCTCAGTATGATGAAATTTCATTTTATCTAGAATATTATCTCTTCATATTCTTTGGCTTAGAATACATATTGAGAATGTTTAGTTCAACGGCTTTTGATTAAAAATTAATGGGATTTATTTTATCTCCATTGAATTTAATAGATTTACTTGCAATAATGCCTTTCTTATTTAATCTCATTTTTGAAGGGGCAAGTTTGTCTGGATTAAGAGTAATTAGAATTATCAGATTCATGAGAGTATTTCGGCTATTTAAACTTTCGAGATTTATGAAGGACATGTTAATGATTGTAAATATATGAGTCACTTAAAAAGGTAGATACAGTGAAGCATTCAGCTAAAGACATAATAATATTGATTACGATGTTTTTCTTTATGGTTTTATTTTTCTCCATAGTTGTGTATTATTTGGAATATGATGAACGCTAAATCGTTGAAGATGAATAGAAAATTCATTCTATATCTGAGGCAATTTGGTGGTGTATTGCAACAATGACAACAGTTGGATACGGTGATAAGTTGCCCTTGAGTATACCAGGTAAAATGATGGCTTGCATAGCAGCCTTTTTTGGAATTACGTCTATTTCATTGTATAGAATATAAAAACTAAATAGACCTGTCGCAGTTATGGGAATGAACTTGACTTAAACATTGAAAGAGCATGAAGAAAATATAGAAATCTAGAAATTGAAGGATCAATTTGTTATGGAGAATGATACAGAATTGATCAATAAACGAGAATAAACACAATTAAATCTGAAGGAATTGAAATTTATGGAAAGAAGATTAGAATAACTGTTAGAAAATAACTAGAAGGTCATGGATTATGTTGAATAATCTCAATAATTATTTGATGAAGTGACCTAAGATCTTATGAGCTTATATTCAGCTTTGACTGAATAACTGGATCTTCATATTGAAACAAAAATGAAGAATTTGAAGGCCAGACATCGAGTAAATTTTAGTTCATATTTACATAGATAATGAAAATGGAAAAGAATCTTAATCAAAAGAAATCCATCGAATTGAGTCAAATTGTATCTGCATTCAAGGAGAAATAAAGGTTGATTTCTTAGGGCTCAATTCTAGTGTGTGAAGAGAGCCAAGCGGATGTTTTTAGTATTGCAAGTAAACATAGTAGACAAAGTAAACAATACACAACAACAAGAAAGAACTAAAAATTAAGAAGCAAAAATAGCAGAGGCTCCTATCTATGTGTCATTAATAATAGCAACCTAAATCCTTTTAAAACTTAGACAGATTTTAATGATCCTGATTCTCATTAAAATAGTATTATATATGCTCAGATCAGTTCAAAGAACTCTGTCTTAAATTAAGATGCGCTAGGTGGTAATGCTGAATTCAAATTCAATTTGGAAGAGTCAAGCGGTAATATAGACGAAGAGGATGACAATGATAATAGATTCGATCTAAGCAGTAAAATGCAAAGTATCTCAAACATTTAAGATTTTAAACTGAAGAATAGTATTAAAAATAATAATATATTATGAACTGCTACGATAAATAATTTCTTGAATATAGATCGAACAACTCAACTTTGGATCAACAATATTCTTTGTTCGATGATATTAAGTACAATAAAAAGAGTAATGAGTTCATCCAAGAGAATAATGAAAATTAAAAAGAATAATAATATGTTTATATAAGAGATAATTATTATTATGCAACTAGAGGTGATTTTATAACCAAGGTTGTCTATGCGAATAATGCATTAGAATTTATTAATGGGTTAAGATTGGATCAATTTTTTGGTTATGGTATTGATGAAAATCTATATTTAAAAATTAAAACCTGCAATCTCAATTACAAAAAATGTGATACTATCAACGAAGAGCTGATTAAATAATTCAACGATATCTTCCAATTGATTTGGATTGACACATCAATTGAAAAATTATAAGCTGCTCGATTATTATATAATTAGATCATTAAAAATAACAATCAATTCACAGATAAGTAAATCTGTGATTTGTATTCATAATTATTACAGAAAATCAAATCATTAAGTATCTTATAATATAAACTATAATATAATAGAAAACAAAAATACCTTCAAATAAAGAGTTCATATTATGAAAATGGAATTTGTGATATTCAAAATATATGACTATTAACATTTTCCTGATATTAAAAAAAATTGCAATATGTATTTAATTATGTTAAATATATAGATGCAAAGTCTGTTAATAGCATAAATCTAAGTACTACTGCGGAGGTTGTTTTTACTTTACGGGTAAAAAATGGAGTTTATGTTTGGATGGATGCTTCAGTAAATTTCATTAGGAACCCAGTAAATATTTATGTAGAAAGAAAATGAATTAAATTAAATGATGTATGTTCGATTTCATTACTAAAACTGGGATGCAAATTTATGAATCAAATTTAATTGTTATTCCAATGGCAATGGAGCACAGCGTTTCAATAAATTAATTATTAGAACTGCATCGACACCTTTAATCCAAACTCTACCATTTTTACCCACACAGACTTCGAAACTCGAGTGTTTGCTTATCTCCTTAAATAATTCTGGCTTTGTTTAAGAACTTAATAGACTTTAAACAAAATTCAAAGGCAAATCAACAATGACTCCTCCGGTTAATTCTCTAAATAGATTTTCTCCTGTTGTCTAAATATTAAGATAAAATTATTACCCATTCTTTCTTACTCTAAGGATTTATACATGACAATTTACCCTTTAGGTAATGATTCAATTCAATGACTCTAGCGTATAAAAGTTATCCAACTTAAATGTTTGGTTTATTCTTCTTTGTTGCTCCCTCAAAATCCATTTAATTTAGATTATATACTAACCCATTACCGAGATCACAAAAATAATACTCGCTATTCTTTCCAGTGACTTAGACTATCACATAGTCTTCAATTTCAGGTGTATAGTATATTGGATTATGACAAATTGCAATTTTTTATTAATCTAACCAAAACCAACCTGCATGTTTTGTTTCTATTTCCAGAGATTTAGTAATGTTGACATCTTGCTTATTTGTTTTAATGGTATTGCCAGAAACTAAACTCTTGAGAGGAATTTTTTCTCCTGGCAAAGTTATATATACAAGAGCACTTTACATTAAATAATTTAATTTATGGCTGCAGAATTTAAAATTATAGTTGACAGAGCTATTTAAAAATATCAAACATAAATTGAATCCCTATAAATAAAATAGCAGAAATGCTAAGCCTAAGTAGAGGATCTATATAAGAATGATGAAAAAATAAAAAGTGCTTTATTGATTGAATGCAATAAGGATGTCAATAACTTCAATAACTACTTATAATAATACAGACAATAATAAATAAATTCAATGACAGAAATTTGTTATCAAGAATTATAATTATTTAATGATATAAATTCCTAAGAATACAAAACGGCTAAAAGGAATTGTATAAGAAATTAATTACTTAACAATGTTGTGTTTGAGTAGAACATATAATTAAAATTAAGTGGAATGTAAGTGTGAAGTATAGATATAAAAAATAATAACAAAAATTATGAATAAGGGTGATTCAGATATCAATGCAAATTAAATAGATTTTTCCTTACATTCTGCACTTTATTCACATTATATGGTTTTTTGGCTGCCTAGATTAATTCCTATTAAGCTTCATGTAGAATATCGCAAATGCGATTTGCTGCATTTTTCTTACTATGAATAATAACTGTATTTGGACAAGTCGTGTTAGACTATGATATTATAAATTGAATTACATCACTCTATATTGGAGTAGTTAGAGAGGAGTTTTCGATTTCTTTTGTCAGCATTTCACTAAACTCATTGATTTCCTATTCATTTTGAAAGTCCTCCTCTCTGTAGAACTATTAAAATTATTATTATGTTATTATGTTTTCTTAAAGAAGTGTCTCCAAAACTACTTGTCTACTTGATAATCTCGACTAATGTTTTGGTTTCTAACTGGGAGAGAGCATTGGTGAATCATCAAATTACTAGGAAGAAAAATTAAATTGTCTATTTAATTGAACATCTTCTAATTCATCCGATGAGTCCATAATGCTTGATCTGATTGTATTAAACGTTTCTAACAGATTTAAATTGGAATTTTGTGACTGATGGTTTAGTCTTTAATATGGTTGTGAATTGAGTAGTCTATAGAATTCACTTTCGCCAAAATAATTAATGAAAATTTCATTAAATAAGAGTTCTTGAACAGATTGCACATTGGAGTTAATCACATTCTGTACTGTATCCTTTTCTTTAGGAAATCTAGAATTTTTAATTAACAGAATACTTTGAAATTAAGTAAGACTTGATTAATTGAACATCTTAGAATATTTCTTTAGAATATTCGTTTGTCATTTTTTCAATCTTACCATTGTCTAAGACCTCCATATTGCAATTATCATCCAACAAAATTATGTTAGAAACCTATTACAAAATTAAAACGAATTTTACTTAAAAGTGATTTAGAACCAACCCCTCATTATGGTATTTGTACAACATTTTTAATAAACCAAAAAACGATTATTCGAACGATAACTCTATAATTGGCTTTCCATTCAAATACGAAATTACTATATAGAGATAATGTTCATCTTCATATAGATATTCATGTTTTTAGTTCCTTATTATCTATTTTAAATATTCCTTTCCTTCCATTTTTGCATACTTTTTTATCGATTTTATCATACCACTCTATTTATCTCTTACTTACAACACCTATTAAATAACAACAAGTAATACCTAAAATTTCTCTAAGTCAAACAACACTTTTTCTATTTCATAATACAATTAAATATCCAAATGCATGCAATGTTAGTCAACGACCTTGTAAAACTACTGTAACTTTGGCCCGTTGACATTTATTTAACCAAATTTATTTTAAAGAGTGACTCCTCTCTCATCTAAAATAACATAAGTTTCCAATAAATTTATATATTAACTATTGGCATATAATTGACCTGAGACCACTTTAAATCTCTCCAGGTTGTTTTCGCAGTATAGCTCAAAAGTTTATTCCTTTAAATTAAGATGGAATGCTTACTTCTTCATCATCTAAATTCAATTGCCATTTATCATAAACTGGATTCCAAAAGGATTCAGCAAAGAGAGAATCTTAAATCATTTTTCTAAATATTTTTTTTATTAATAATCATTTTATAGCTTTTAATAAATACTTATATAGCCTCTCATATCATTTTCGAATTTTATATATATATATTTATATACAACTCATTTATTACCCAATTTAATTAATCAATTATTACACATTTATAAGATTAGATCAATATTTACTATGTATATTTTTCATACTCAATTCATCTTGAAAATTATTTGTTTTTAAACTTTCATTCAATCAGAATAATACTGAATTTTTATTTATTTTTTATAATACTTCATTTAGACAACGAATATCTTCCATATATATACTTTAAATGAATAAAAGACAGAATTATCAAAGTCGGTATTCCATACTTGTAATTAGATTTATTTATTGAATCATTTACCTAATTTCATCATAAACAAAGGATGTGCTGGAGGTAATAATAAATTTTATTTTTTATTTACTTCATTTTAAACTATGCAAATAACTGATTTGAATTATTTAATTAATGAAAAATTTGAAAAAATATCAAATAAACTGAATAGTGTGTCATAATTAAAAATTCATGTATTTAAATGTAACCTATTAAATTCAATATTGTTCGTCATAAAAGTATAATTAAATTATTTAATTCATATTAAATACCAATGTAGTCATATTTATAAACTAAATATCCAAAACTTATAGAATAAATTAACTATTTAAGTGGATGCTATTTTCCATTCTCTAATAATCTAGATGAATTATATATATTCTTTGAACTCATTTTTAATATAAAAATAATAGTTATTTGCTAATCAATTTATTAATTTGATAAGTATTTTTAATCCAATTATTTCTCAGTTTTATCCTCTATCTCTAATACACTCTAAAAGCGATTCAAGGATTAATTACCGATAATTTAATTTTATCATTTATATACTAATCCAAAAGATATAAAATATTCTTTTTATTCGTTTAATTCAGAAATTGTTTTGAAAAAGAATTAATTTCAGCGATTCCAAATCTTAGTTTGCTAATTCATAATTATTTCATTACTTTTTTGGTTATTCAAACATATTTATATTCAATTTTTTTTGCCTTTTTCCTTTTCTTCCAAATATAAAAATTCCAATCAAAGTTGAATATCTTTACTAACTCCATTTTCTAGAGTTTATTAAAATGCTAATTTTCTTGTTATGAATTAGATGAAATCATCTTAAATCTTAAGGATGAATTCTAAAAATTCTATTTATTTATTTGAGCTGAAAAAAATTTACATTTTTTATAAGTAGAAATTCAAATTAAAATTTAGAAGTAGAAGCAAATCATGAATTCTTGGTTAGTTAAAGAAATTATAAAAATTATCATTTATTAAATTATAAATTGTGATTAACAATTAATGTTAACAAGAAGAAAAAGTTCTGAATTAATTGAACCAGAGATTGTTAAAAAGGTCAAAGGAATCGATGAGAGCAACTTGAAAGCATATATAAAAAACAAGCAAACAAGAAAAGTTTTAGAAGTAAGAATTTAAAATTAACAAAAAAGGGTAGAGGCATCTCAAATTTATTCCCAATTCAATAGTAATGTTTTGAAACAATTTACAATGGAGATGATATTATAGGGTAGGATAGAACAGGTTCAGGTAAAACTCTTGCATATTGCCTCCCAATTCTTGAAAGAATAAGAGGATTAGGATTAAAATAAAATAAAAATCCTTATGTATTAGTATTATTACCAACAAGAGAATTGGCAATCCAAGTAACTACTGAATTTAATACTATTTTACATAAAGAAAATGAATACAGAATTTATAGTATATATGGTGGTACAGATCTAAGAAACTAAATTGATTAAGTGAGATAAGGATGTGAAATAGTAGTTGGAACACCTGGAAGAATATAGGATCTTTTGGAAAGAAAGGTTCTAAAATTAGATGAAATTCAAGTGGTTGTTTTGGATGAGGCAGATCAAATGTTGAATTTTGGATTTTAAGAAAATATTGAAAAGATCATGTCATATTTCAATGAAAGAAAAATTTAAATGCTATTATTTAGTGCTACTATACCTGATTGGGTAAAGGAACTATCACACAAATATATGGAAGCCAATACCAAACATATTAATTTAATTAAGAGACATGAGGTAACTCTATTAATCTAAATATTTAGACTTAAACTTCAACAACTGTCAAACATTATGCCCTCTAATGTGCAAGAAATCAATTAAGCGGTGCAATAGGTGATGTAGTTTCAGTTTATGGTGGAAGACATGCAAGAACTATTATCTTTTGTGAGACTAAAAGAGAATGCAATGAAATTATTTTGCATTCAAAATTACCAGCTGAAACATAACCATTACATGGAGACATTCCTTAATAATAAAGAACAGTGACATTTGAAGGATTTAAAAATGGAAAATTCAAATGTTTAGTTGCAACCAATGTTGCAGCTAGAGGATTGGATTTCCCATAAGTAGATTTAATTATTTAATGCAATCCTCCTAAAGATATTGAATCATATATCCACAGATCAGGAAGAACAGGTAGAGCTGGAAAGGATGGAGTATGTATCACTTTCTATTCAAAGAAGGATATGGGTTTGATTGAAAGAGTGGAGAGAGTAGCTAAAATAAAATTCATAAAAATTTCTGCTCCTCAACATTAAGATATTATCAAGGCAAGCTCAAGAGATTTATAAACTAGTTTATAAGTAGTTAGTAAAGAGACTTGTTGATATGTTTTAACCTGTGGCTTAAGAGATCATTTCTAGATGTGATCCAGTAGAAGCCTTGGCTAGAGCCTTAGCATGTGTGAGTGGATATAAAGACAAACTATAGAATAGATCTATGTTAGGATCTTTTGAGGGATATATAACATAAGTGTTAAGATCATCAACTCCATTCTAAGCTTGTGGTTATATTTGGAAGTTCTTAAAGAATAACTTTTCAGAATAGATTTGCAATAGTATTAAGGGTATGAAAAAAATAAGAAATGAGAACGGTGTTGCATTTGATATTAGTGAAGATGTCAAGGAAGAATTTGAAAATCAATACTAGGAGATATCACAAAATGGATATTGCAGAGGAATTGAAATTGAATAAGCCACTAGTCTTCCAGATATAATTGAAGAATAATTTTAATCACATCAAAACTATCATTAATAACCAACAGTTTAAGTCTCACAAACAGTTAAAAAGGAATAAGAAATATTTATAGGAGGGTTAGATTTTAAGATTACAGAAGATGAAATTAAAAATGAATTCAAAAATAGAGGAGTTGAGTTATTCAATCTCAGATTATTAAGAGGCTAGGATGGTTAATCAAAAGGATCTGCTTTTGGAGTGTGTAGAACTAAAGAAATGGTATCAGTGGCTATAAAATAAAATGGAACTAAATTCAGAGGAAGAAACGTTCGTGTAAATATGGCAAATGAAAAACCTAAATGATAAATTTTTATATGTATATATAGTAAAATACATTATCTAAATACAAAATAACTACAGCATTGCAATTTATTAGAAACTGTCTAATTTCATGTATAATATATTTTTTGAAATATGAGCACATTAGGGTTCTCTTAGTATTTATTATATTTTAATACAATTTATAATTACATTTTTAATGCTAAAATAGAAGTTGGTTTAATTATAATAATAGCGAAAGGATCTTGAAGATCATATTGAACAACTCAATTAACAACTATAAGTTTATTATGATAAGGGATACAATAAATCATTAATAGACGAAGAAGGATTTCCCAGATAGGATCTAGATTTTGGTGAACTATCTACATACAAAAATTTAAGAAGAGAATTCAATGAAAAAAACAATGACTACAAAGATTTGATGAAGCTTCTTGAACAAAGTATACCATTTTATAATGTTTTAGCAATGATATCATATCATTAGGAATTGTAAAATGATCCTAATCTCAATAATGAAATAGAAGCATACACCTAAAAATGGAAGGAACAACAATAACAGTCAAAATAAATACAATAATAGCAGTAGTAGCAATAACAATAACAATAATAACAACAATCAAGTAGTTCATAAAATTAGAGGAATGAATATTCCAAGTAAAATGAAAATGACCTAATTAAACCCTTTGCTTATTTAGAGGATGTAATCAAAGATTCACCTGCAGATAAGGGAGGTTTTAAAATTAATGATTTTTTGATTAGATTTGGGATAATAGATCACAGCAATCACAATAGATTATAAAATCTTTATGAATACATAAAAAATCAATAGAATAAACAGGTAAATGTGAAGATCTTACGTTTACTCACATAGTAAGCAAATGTGACTAACATTGACTTTTCAAAAGAATCATATATCATAATGGATTTAACTATAACTCCTTAAACATGGAATGGAAAAGGATTATTAGGATGGAAAATGAACGTGATTTGAAATATCTAGTATATATTGTAATTTAAATATAAAGACATAGTTATCATACCATGCTATCAGAATCATTTTTCTTTATAATTAGGCTTTATTCAACATTTCTTTCTGAAGCAGAAAATGCATCATATTTTTATAGCATTTTCATCTCATTTGACAAATGGGCAATTTTATAATCATATATCTGATAATTGGTTCTTTCTAGTTTATCAAAGTCGGTTTAAGAGATGGTTGAAGGTCTCAACTTCATAAATCTAGAATTAATTGTTGAAATACTTAAAAAAGGAAATGATTATGGTGACTATCGAAGTGCCTAAAGTAATGTAAATGGACCAACCTAGAGTAAGTTATTTTGATATTGTCATTTTATAGATAAAAGTCAATTACAAAGTCAACTAAGGAACATCTTCAAATATAAATTTGATGAGGTAATTCTATTTAATAATTAGAAATAACAATAATTACTTTTATTGATTTATTCAAACTTTTACCAGCAGCATTTGGTATCAATTTTCTAATTATCCATCTATTTGGAAATACGCTAACATTATACGGGGCCACCATATCTAGGATTTAAGCTAAAGCAGCATTTCTTCCAACAGTGCAAAGATCAAAAAAGTCATTAATTGTCTAAGTAGATAAATATTTGGTTTGTAATTTAATTCTCTGGATTCTTCGAATTAGTACTTCAATGAAATATATTAGATAAATGGCTAAATTAAATACTGTAATAATTAAAGCAGCGTAATATAGAGAATCTTGTTTACAATTAAAACAGTTGATGATAAAAACTACATCATTGTATAGATCATATTTTGAGAGTTGAGATAGGGTGAGAGTAATCAAAAATTGAATACTCTAAGCATAAGATGAATTCACAAATTCTTTTATGTTGCTGTTAAACTTTGTCAAATAATCCTTGCTATTTTCACCATTCTCTTTTAAATGATGTTATTCATCTAATGGAGTCACTCTATTTTGCTAAATGAATCCCAAAATGGATTATTTCTATGCATCCTAATTGTCTTAAGTGTTTTCATCGATATCTATCAATTTAGAGACATGTGAAGGGATTAATGCCACTATTTATTTGTATAAGAGAGACTCAAATATAAGAGTTATAACAGCAAATCCATAATATGAATAAGTTGCAATTTAATTTACTCCCTTCTTGCACAAGTCTTCTTAACTGTCTAAATCTTTGATAGTAAGCAATATTGGAGATCCAATACACATAAATAAATAGATTAAAGTCAACACAATCAAAAAATCAAAATACAATAAAGAACTCTGAAGTTTCTAATTTAATTACTTAATTTCTAGAGAGTAGGAATATTTATTTGCATCTGAAACAAAGATTGATAACAAGAAATATAGAATTTTCTTAAAGAAAATGAGAATTTTGGACTAAAAGTTGATTCCATAAACTAATGCTCTAATTGAATAACCAATTCCATTATTTAAGACTCTTCTATGATCATACGAAATGTGTGAATATTAAAAGTAGTTACTTTCATATAAAACTGAATATATTCCTTTAATTGCTTATAGGGTTAAACTATTCTATATGATGATATGTGATGGTGGTACTACTCTAATGAATTTAACAATATCTCTTTCAGTAT